TCTATACAATTTAAAATCAAATGATAACAGTTTTCAACTTGACAATTCTTATGTAAAGCGAAGGAATTTGTTCTGTTCTATGACACAATCAGTGAATTTTACACCTGACTAATTTCACTTAAAATGTTGGCAATTAATCCAAAGAATTCTAAACAACAATTAGTAACAGAAAATATCAGTATTATCATTAACATTTGGTGTAGAAAAGGGAACTTGATTACTTTTTTTAAAATTTTAGTATAGTTCATAAAGTTTATTAACCAAAATTTCAAATATCTACAATAATTCCCTGATCAGGTGAGCGTTTAGTCCTACAGATATACTTTTATATAAAGTAAGATCAGGTAGGATCAGGTGTGTGTTTAGTTCTATAAATATCTTTTTATATAAGGTAAGATCAGGTGTGTGTTTAGTTCTATAAATATCTTTTTATATAAGGTAAGATCAGGTGTGTGTTTAGTTCTATAAATATCTTTTTATATAAGGTAAGATCAGGTGTGTGTTTAGTTCTATAAATATCTTTTATATAAAGTGTGATCAGGTGTGTGTTTAGACCTACAGATATACTTTTATATAAGGTAAGATCAGGTGTGTGTTTAGTTCTATAGATATACTTTTATATAAGGTAAGATTAGGTGTGTGTTTAGACCTACAGATATACTTTTATATAAGGTAAGATCAGGTGTGTGTTTAGACCTACAGATATACTTTTATATAAGGTAAGATCAGGTGTGTGTTTAGTTCTATAGATATACTTTTATATAAGGTAAGATCAGGTGTGTGTTTAGTTCTATAGATATACTTTTATATAAGGTAAGATTAGGTGTGTGTTTAGACCTACAGATATACTTTTATATAAGGTAAGATCAGGTGTGTGTTTAGACCTACAGATATACTTTTATATAAGGTAAGATCAGGTGTGTGTTTAGACCTACAGATATACTTTTATATAAGGTAAGATCAGGTGTGTGTTTAGACCTACAGATATACTTTTATATAAGGTAAGATCAGGTGTGTGTTTAGACCTACAGATATACTTTTATATAAGGTAAGATCAGGTGTGTGTTTAGACCTACAGATATACTTTTATATAAGGTAAGATCAGGTGTGTGTTTAGTTCTATAGATATACTTTTATATAAGGTAAGATCAGGTGTGTGTTTAGACCTACAGATATACTTTTATATAAGGTAAGATCAGGTGTGTGTTTAGACCTACAGATATACTTTTATATAAGGTAAGATCAGGTGTGTGTTTAGACCTACAGATATACTTTTATATAAAGTATGATCAGGTGTGTGTTTAGACCTACAGATATACTTTTATATAAAGTAAGATTAGGTGTATGTTTAGACCTACAGATATACTTTTATATAAAGTAAGATCAGGTGTGTGTTTAGTTCTATAGATATACTTTTATATAAGGTAAGATCAGGTGTGTGTTTAGACCTACAGATATACTTTTATATAAAGTAAGATCAGGTGTGTGTTTAGTTCTATAGATATACTTTTATATAAAGTATGATCAGGTGTATGTTTAGACCTACAGATATACTTTTATATAAGTAAGATCTGTGTGTTTAGTTCTATAGATATACTTTTATATAAAGTATGATCAGGTGTGTGTTTAGTTCTATAGATATACTTTTATATAAAGTAAGATCAGGTGTGTGTTTAGTTCTATAGATATACTTTTATATAAAGTATGATCAGGTGTGTGTTTAGTTCTATAGATATACTTTTATATAAAGTAAGATCAGGTGTGTGTTTAGTTCTATAGATATACTTTTATATAAAGTATGATCAGGTGTATGTTTAGACCTACAGATATACTTTTATATAAGGTAAGATCAGGTGTGTGTTTAGTTCTATAGATATACTTTTATATAAAGTATGATCAGGTGTGTGTTTAGTTCTATAGATATACTTTTATATAAAGTAAGATCAGGTGTGTGTTTAGTTATATAGATATACTTTTATATAAAGTATGATCAGGTGTGTGTTTAGTTCTATAGATATACTTTTATATAAAGTAAGATCAGGTGTGTGTTTAGTTCTATAGATATACTTTTATATAAAGTATGATCAGGTGTATGTTTAGACCTACAGATATACTTTTATATAAGGTAAGATCAGGTGTGTGTTTAGACCTACAGATATACTTTTATATAAAGTATGATCAGGTGTGTGTTTAGTTCTATAGATATACTTTTATATAAAGTATGATCAGGTGTGTGTTTAGACCTACAGATATACTTTTATATAAGGTATGATCAGGTGTGTGTTTAGTTCTATAGATATACTTTTATATAAAGTATGATCAGGTGTGTGTTTAGACCTACAGATATACTTTTATATAAAGTAAGATCAGGTGTGTGTTTAGACCTACAGATATACTTTTATATAAAGTAAGATCAGGTGTGTGTTTAGACCTACAGATATACTTTTATATAAAGTGTGATCAGGTGTGTGTTTAGACCTACAGATATACTTTTATATAAAGTAAGATCAGGTGTGTGTTTAGACCTACAGATATACTTTTATATAAAGTGTGATCAGGTGTGTGTTTAGACCTACAGATATACTTTTATATAAAGTAAGATCAGGTGTATGTTTAGACCTACAGATATACTTTTATATAAGGTAAGATTAGGTGTGTGTTTAGACCTACAGATATACTTTTATATAAAGTAAGATCAGGTGTATGTTTAGACCTATAGATATACTTTTATATAAGGTAAGATCAGGTGTGTGTTTAGACCTATAGATATACTTTTATATAAGGTAAGATCAGGTGTGTGTTTAGACCTATAGATATACTTTTATATAAGGTAAGATCAGGTGTGTGTTTAGACCTACAGATATACTTTTATATAGTAAGATAGGTGTGTGTTTAGACCTACAGATATAGGTGTGTGTTTACCTACAGATATACTTTTATATATAGTAAGATCAGGTGTGTGTTTAGACCTACAGATATACAGATATACTACAGATATACTTTTATATAAGGTAAGATTAGGTGTGTGTTTAGACCTACAGATATACTTTTATATAAGGTAAGATTAGGTGTGTGTTTAGACCTACAGATATACTTTTATATAAAGTAAGATCAGGTGTGTGTTTAGACCTACAGATATACTTTTATATAAAGTAAGATTAGGTGTGTGTTTAGACCTACAGATATACTTTTATATAAAGTAAGATTAGGTGTGTGTTTAGACCTACAGATATACTTTTATATAAAGTAAGATTAGGTGTGTGTTTAGACCTATAGATATACTTTTATATAAAGTAAGATTAGGTGTGTGTTTAGACCTATAGATATACTTTTATATAAGGTAAGATTAGGTGTGTGTTTAGACCTACAGATATACTTTTATATAAGGTAAGATTAGGTGTGTGTTTAGACCTACAGATATACTTTTATATAAGGTAAGATCAGGTGTGTGTTTAGACCTACAGATATACTTTTATATAAGGTAAGATTAGGTGTGTGTTTAGACCTACAGATATACTTTTATATAAGGTAAGATCAGGTGTGTGTTTAGTTCTATAGATATACTTTTATATAAGGTAAGATTAGGTGTGTGTTTAGACCTACAGATATACTTTTATATAAGGTAAGATTAGGTGTGTGTTTAGATACTATAGATATACTATTTATATAAAGTAAGATTAGGTGTGTGTGTGTTTAGACCTATAGATATACTTTTATATAAAGTAAGATTAGTTGTGTGTTTAGACCTACAGATATACTTTTATATAAAGTATGATCAGGTGTGTGTTTAGTTCTATAGATATACTTTTATATAAAGTAAGATTAGGTGTGTGTTTAGACCTATAGATATACTTTTATATAAAGTAAGATTAGGTGTGTGTTTAGACCTACAGATATACTTTTATATAAAGTAAGATTAGGTGTGTGTTTAGACCTATAGATATACTTTTATATAAAGTAAGATTAGGTGTGTGTTTAGACCTACAGATATACTTTTATATAAAGTAAGATTAGGTGTGTGTTTAGACCTATAGATATACTTTTATATAAAGTAAGATTAGGTGTGTGTTTAGACCTACAGATATACTTTTATATAAAGTAAGATTAGGTGTGTGTTTAGACCTATAGATATACTTTTATATAAAGTAAGATTAGGTGTGTGTTTAGACCTACAGATATACTTTTATATAAAGTAAGATCAGGTGTGTGTTTAGACCTACAGATATACTTTTATATAAGGTAAGATCAGGTGTGTGTTTAGACCTACAGATATAAGATGAAGAACTGGTTTACTGTTTATACTGTAAGGAAATCTATAGCTTCATGCTTATAGTATAGTTTTACTTTCAGACTTCATTGACTTAGCAGGTGTCATCAATCCCTGAGCCTATACTTTGTGTAATGTTCTGGTTTTATTGTGTAACATACTCCAGAGATTATGTATCTTAGCTGTTTATGTATGTCTTATATGTCTATATATATATGTATATATATATATATAGATACTATGTTATTATCATAGTCATTCTAATTAAGCCTGATTATTTGTAACAAAACAAATGAAACAGTGAAGGTCCATGATTCAGAGAAACAAATACTTTTTGATCATTACTGAATAAATTGTTCTGGAATCCTCCTCTGAAGAAGATTTAAACAATATTGTAAACATAACAGGAAAACCCCAAATGAAACAGAAACCTCAACATGATGTTTTTGATTTCCAGGATAAAATATTTGATTATTGTAAAGCAATTTTTTGAGGAAATTTTCAATCCAGATGTAACTATTAAAGCTCAAATAAATATAAAACTGATATTGACTGGAGTTACGGGAAAAATGTAGGGTTGATTAAATATTTGCATAAATTAAATTTTTTTGTCAACATTTTTTTTCAGTTTTATGAAGACAAAGGAATGTCTGGATTTTAAAATTTCTTTAATTGCACCAAAATGAAGTTTCTTTAAAATTTTGAATAACTAATGGTTTGTATTCTTGAACAGGCTCCAGACAGCAGAGAGGGTCAATCTGAAAATTCAAGCGAAGCCATTTCAGTCACAGCAAGGTGACCATTCAGTACGATTTCATTTATACGACGAGCGCAATCAGCCATCTTCTTTGTTTGCCATTAATGAAGTAGGAGAGGTGGAGACTTTACAGAGCATGGACTACGAGGCGTCGTCATGGAAACAGTTTACATTGACACTTAATGGCACAGAGGAATCCACTGGCCTCACAAGTTCAACACAGGTGGGTTAGAGTTATTTCCCCTGTCCATTCTTCAATGATTAACATAGACAAAATCTAGATTATATCTAATAATTCAGTATTGGGTAAAAGTAGACAAGGACAAAGAAGTCACAATAATGTTGCTGAAATTAGTAAAAGAAATCAGTAGTGAATGTAAATAGCATGTAGATGTGTTTATTGTCAAATGTGTTGCTAACGAATATGGTTTCCTCAATGAGTGAGAGGAAGTAGTTGTCTTTTCCTCAACTTTAAATAGAAAATAAGACTGTTGGTTTAATTGATCAGTTGATATATTAATGTGTTCTGTGCAGCTGATTGTGAACCTGGAAGATTCCAATGACAACTCGCCAGTATTTGGTCTGTCAACATACACGAACAGTACTAGTGAAGGAACCCCAGTCAATGCTACCCTGTTCTCAGGTATGGTATCACATCCTAAATACGATACCCTATCTATATACTTATTGTCAGTATTCAACATTGTACTTTCTCCTACAACTGTTTTGTTCAGATGAATGACCTTAACCCACTTTCAAAGTTGTACTGGTCCAAAGTCTCAGGGTGATCTATTGCGATGCCTTTCGTCCGGCGTGAAGTGTCGTAAACTCTTTTACATTTTGAACTTCCGGAAAACTCCTGAACCAATTTCAATGAAATTTTACAAATTGTTCCATGGCTAAAGGTGCACCAAAATTGTAAATTCTATTGTCACCAACCCCCAGGGCCGTGAGGGGCAGGGCCAGAAATTGTCAAAAATCTTCTCAAATCCAAGGTATGGTAGAATCAAGTATCCCTCATAGATGGAAAGGACTTCAGATGCTTTTCCAAAATTGTATCTCACATTTCCCCCAAGTGAGGGAAATAAAATTTACTATAGTTTATGGAAGAAAAATACATTTTGTTTATTTTCTATTGTAAATTCAGACCTGGTTGGAATTATTAGTTTGAGGTGACAGTTTAATGAGAAGCACATGTTGACCTCAGCTGACCCCCAGGGGATGATGGGTGGGGCCAAAAATGGGTTACATTGATTGGAATTTCAAAAAAATTCTCAATACCCAGATAATGGAGAACCAAATACTCTTCATGTATGGAAGTGTCTTATGGAGCTTTATGAAAATTGTAAATTTCATGACCTCAAATGTTATTTATGAGCTCTTCCTACAGAAAAACATTTCATATCGTTTATTTAATATTCTTTTCATTTCCTTCCAAATAAGACACCTCCGTTCCACTATATAAATACCTTGATGAATCTCCATGTTATCATCTCTACATTAATCCCATGTTATCACATCTACATTAATCCCCTGTTATCATCTCTACATTAATCCCATGTTATCACATCTACATTAATCCCCTGTTATCATCTCTACATTAATCCAATGTTATCATCTCTACATTAATCCCCTGTTATCATCTCTACATTAATCCCCTGTTATCATCTCTACATTAATCCCCTGTTATCATCTCTACATTAATCCCCTGTTATCATCTCTACATTAATCCCCTGTTATCATCTCTACATTAATCCCATGTTATCACATCTACATTAATCCCCTGTTATCATCTCTACATTAATCCCATGTTATCACATCTACATTAATCCCCTGTTATCATCTCTACATTAATCCCATGTTATCATCTCTACATTAATCCCCTGTTATCATCTCTACATTGATCCCCTGTTATCACATCTACATTAATCCCATGTTATCATCCCTACATTAATCCCCTGTTATCACATCTACATTAATCCCCTGTTATCATCTCTACATTGATCCCCTGTTATCACATCTACATTAATCCCCTGTTATCATCTCTACATTGATCCCCTGTTATCACATCTACATTAATCCCATGTTATCATCTCTACATTAATCCCATGTTATCATCCCTACATTAATCCCCTGTTATCATCCCTACATTAATCCCCTGTTATCATCCCTACATTAATCCCCTGTTATCATCCCTACATTAATCCCCTGTTATCATCCCTACATTAATCCCCTGTTATCATCCCTACATTAATCCCCTGTTATCACATCTACATTAATCCCCTGTTATCACATCTACATTGATCCCCTGTTATCATCTCTACATTAATCCCCTGTTATCACATCTACATTTCTGTAATGAGGTTTTGCTTGTTTTACAGTGATAGCCACCGACAGAGATTCAGGGGAAAATGCCAAACTGACTTACGAAGTGAACAATGACCACTTCTACGTGGTCACTCGTTATGACCCTCTCTCTGGTCACTACATTGGTGACCTCAAAGTGGCTAAGTGAGTATGACATGACCTGTCAGTGTCCGTTAAAGGGACAACAATCTGATGTAACATTAGTCAGTTTTCAATGGGGTTTGTTCATTCAATCAAAAATGACTCAGTCTGGGAAATTGAAACATTCAAAGAAAAAAATCTGTAATGAAAATTAATATTTAAATGATGAATCATCTCCACCAACACATTTTCAACAATTGTAGAGATTATGTTTTGACAGCAGGTGTTAAAATATCAATTCATAAACAAAGTGTTGTAATGATAAATTTCCTAGCTGTGGATGTTGCCGAGGGAGTTGCATGTCCGGGCATGGTCTTGTATTTCTTTGATGAATGACTTGGGTTTTGTTTTCCAAGGTTCAAACATAATACTGTTAGCTTGATTGCACCTAAAAGAGATACATTCATCATTAAGAAAAAAAAATGTGTTGTCTTTAAAACAAATGGGTTTTAATTGCTCCATCTGTGGAAGTCCATTCTGGTAAAGATGCATTGACAGTGGATACGTGTGTACAATGGATGACCTGACACATATTAGATATGCACATTAAGTGATAATTTTATGATGAGGATTGGATTACATCACATTTATTATGATCTTACGAGAGGGGCAGGGCCCAAAAGGGGAAATGAAGCAAATTATATAGAATCCTACTCCTTCTTTTGGAATGATTGGATTTTACGTGAATTTGGTCAGAAACATTCTTGAATGAAGGGTGATCAATCAGTCAGCATCCTGGGGCTGGAGGGGCCCCGAAAGGGGAAATAAAGCAACTTTTTTTCTTGGTCAGAAACATTGATGGGGGAAGGAAAATCAATTTTGTATAAATAGTGGATGTTGGCCTTCTGGGGTGGGAGGGGCTAGGTCCAATAAGGGAAATGTAGCAAAGGAGTATGTATGGTTTGGGTACCTATGTACCCCCAATATTTTACTGAGAAAAACTGTCTCAGAAAATCAAAAGAGTGAAGACATTTAATAATGGAAGTGTCCATGATTCTAGAATTGTTTTCAAGATTTAAAAAAAATATCACCAATTTTTTAATATAGCTGTTTGAAAATTGACAAAAAACACGAAAATCGGTGATTTCCCCCATTTCGTGGGTACATTTTACTGAAGTTTACCATGAGCGCAGGCTTGAACAAGTTTCATATTGATGCTACAAAATAAAAATTTTAATAAAGTCATTGTGTTAAAAGGAAAATCTTGTTCAAGACTGCGCTCATATTAAAAAATTAATTTTTAAAATTATTTTTCGGCATTTTGATGCAAGATCGCGTGTAATATATGGTCCGGAACACGGAAAACGGACTTCGCCGCTATCGATATTTTTGTTTACTGCAGCAGAAACACTCAAATGATGGAGTTAAAACCAACAATTCCTTAATTTTTCACAACCAAGAAAGGTAAGATTTGTTCTTGTTAGCAAAAAATTTTTAACTGATGTGATATAAAAAATGAATAGTTTTTTTATTCATCGGACGTCTGCAGCACTTGATTGCATCATCAGTTTTACGTCTGGTTGACAGATGCCCCAATACAGGTAGACGGCAAAAAATCCACTAACTTTGTGTGATGTTTGTTAAAAAATTTATTCAAATGTCATTTATTAACAATAAAATCTATTTAAAGGTATCTCAATACTTTTTAAAGTTCTGAAACAGTATTATTCTGTGCTGCCAAGCCCAGCTTGAATGTTGTTGATGTTGATCGCCGAACAAACGGTGAAGTGTCGTCTGGACTGAAGGCGAGCTCACAATAAATTCAAGAGTAATTCATTATAAACTTCAACAGAGACTGTGTGTCTTGTTGAAGTCCACTGAAAATGTCTTCTTTCTGTCTGAAAAATATTCGTTTTATTAACTAGGGAAAAATAGAAATGAAAGAGCGCATCTATTTATACTCATTGTCTTGGAAACAGCCAGAAGAGAAAGCCAACATAGTCGGTGTATATACTTTCAAAATAACATCCGGTTGCATATGCTGTACCGTGGTGTAGTGGTAGGAGGGTTGGCTCAGGAGCATAAGCACCGCAATTATGGGATCCAATCCTGATGACCATTGATGTTATTTTTTTTATTTTTTATTTTTTTTTTATATTCAATTTAAGATACAAAACTATAATACATATTTTCTAGCGAGAACTTTGCAACACATTATTATTTTTAACATTAATTAAAACTATTTGTGTAATTAATTAAGCTCTGACTTCAAATCCTGTTGACAACTCTTATTTATTTATTTTGATTTCAAATAAAAAAATACCTATTCTTAATTTAATTTAAAATGCAACCATGTAGTCTGTTCTTGAAAGTGCTTAGCAACATTTTATTTTTTTCACATTAAGAAAATAACATTTGTAATATTAATTAAACTGTGGGTTCAAATCTTGTTGACAATCCATATTTCACAAACATTTATCGACATTTGTGTGAGTTACAGTTGTGCTGGTGCCTGTTCCTTTTTATTATTTTTTCTTAATTTCATTGTAAAAAGCTTAACAACATATTCCCTAAATAATGTGTAATTATTGATCAATTATGACAAAAATATGTTATGTAATTTAAATATGAATATAATATCTATGTTTACAACTTTTAATTTCTTATACAATGTATAGAACACACATTCTTTTGAGTTCCACATAAAAACTTGTCACTTTTATGTTTATATATTCTTTTTGTACTTTTCTACGTTACCGTGATTCATATGGTTGGTATAAAGTATTAATATACTTATCAAATATTTCTTTCCAGATGCCAAAAGACATCCCATGTTGCTTGTGCTTCAAAAGGTGTAAACCAAATTCCAGAAGGCATATCCCACCTGGCGTGGCCTTTAAAAGATATGTGGAGCGATGTGTTGGCAGGGACGTGAGTAGCAATGACATGATATGCGGGACATGTACGGCACGAGTGTATAGGAGTCTTCCAATATTTCACCAGACACCTGTAAATACTAATGATGACGAGTACATTTCTCAGCCGCCAAAGAAAAAGACACTGTCGAGTCCTAAAACTATTAATTTGAACCTTCCCGCAACATCAAAATCTCATAAATCATGTATTGTATGTCATAAAGATGCAAACCAAAGAAACCATTTAACCAACATCCCACAACAAGGATCTACTCAGGCCTTCATAGTATGTGGTATATTCATACACCCCCATAGTAGATATTGTGAGAGCCATATTGAGAACAATTATCTGAATGAAAATGCGTTGGCATTACTTGGAACCAAGAAATCAAATGACTGGTTTTCAAGAAGTGATATTACAGGTCTTCTCTCCGGAGTTCGAAGGATGCTGTCTACACATTCTGGACATTTGAATTTCGATGTGCCATCATTTTTAACCAATGAAGATTATGTAACATTGACAGGATTTACCAAACAGCAGTTTGACGAAATTGTCACTCATTTGACATCACTTAATGATTCAGCAGTTAGGTCAATCCGGACATGTCTAGCTGTGTTTCTCTTCAAATTACGTAGTGGATTGTCCAACAAGTTAATTGGTGTGTTATTTCATTTAACATATTCGCAAATCCAGCGTATAGTGAACAGCACAAGGAATGCCTTAGTGGAAGATTTTGTACCAGATAACCTTGGATTTCAACACATATCTCATGGAGACTTTGTTCAAAACCACACTACAAATATAGCAAAATCATTGTTCCAACCAGGCGAAAACGAGGCTATTGTTGTTGCTGATGGCACCTATGTTTACATCCAGAAGAGTGCAGACTACAAATTCCAAAGGAGGTCCTATTCTATGCACAAGAACAGACCACTCGTTAAACCAATGATGCTTGTAGGAACAGATGGCTACATTCTGGATGTGCTCGGACCTTACCTGGCTGATGGCTCAAACAACGATGCCTCCATTACAAAACACATGCTTAAGGCAAATGAGGAAGCTAGCAAGTGGTTCAAACCCGGCGACATATTCATTGTAGACAGGGGGTTTAGGGACGCTGTGAGGTTTTTAGAAGACCGAGGTTTCGATGTGAAAATGCCCTTCTATCTTCAGAAAGGCTGCAAGCAGCACACCACCGAAGAGGCGAACCTTTCACGTTTAGTCACAAAAGTCAGATGGGTGGTAGAAAGCGTGAATGGCAGGATAAAACAATGGAAACTGTTTGACAAAGTTGTTCCAAATACCCTGATCCCTTCTATTGGTGACTTTGTGAGAATCATCTGTGCTCTTATCAACAGGTTTAAAGAACCACTTGTGAAAACTGACGCAACATCAGAAGCACATTGCAGGGCAATGCTTGCAAAGTCCAAGGAACCAAATACAGTGAAAGCATTTTTGGAAAGCAACAACTTACTAAATAAGAGAACTGTTTATCAAAAGCTGGAAGCAGAAGACTTGATGGACTTCCCTAAACTTTCCATGGATGACTTACGAAATATCACCATGGGAGTTTATCAACTTAAACAGGCTCCAAGTTATACAAAGGAGCACTGTGTTGAAGATGGACTGTATGAGTTGCTGGTCTTCTCAGAAAACCCTAATCTGATCAAGTTAAAAATACAGTCTCGACACTGTAACAGCAGAGCACATTCTTTGTGGATTGAGTATGACTCACTCTCTGATGATCCCATCAACGGTTGGTACTGCACTTGTAAAGTAGGCTCAAGAGTGGTCGGTTGCTGTGCCCACATTGCAAGTGCATTGTGGTTTCTAGGATATGAACGCTTCCAAGGCAAATCATCTGGGGCAGTGACTATTTCGACAAAGTCTTTGGTTGATGCAGCTGACATTCCAACAACAGATTCCGACACGGATGAGGAGTATCCAGAGGAATAAACTGTAACACTATATGTATTTAAAGTAGATATAATTTGAAGTCGCTTATCACTTGTTCATTTTCATGTTTGTTAAATTCTGTGAACAAAACCAAACGTTATACATTGATTATATGCTTCGAATATGCTTTGCTTTCAAAAGCACCAGTGCAGAAGTATGTAGCAAAATAGAAACCGATAACAGCTTCAGGTGATGTTCTTGCTATGTGATAGACTTTGTTGCACATTTTGATTAATAATCAATTTTTTATATTGTGTACACTAGTATACCTTTATAACAAAAATGTTTTACCAATGAAATTATGTGATAAGTGTTTCGCTTTCAACAAGTAACAAGTGGGAAAATATTGTAACAGAAAAGAATATGTTAACAATTACAGGTATGCTATGTGATAGACTCTGTTGCTAGGGTACTAACTTTGATCTGTATCAAAATGTTTATATTATACATATTTCGTAAGAAAAGGTTAGTCCATGTAAAGTGATAATGATCTGTTTTCATTAAATAACGTACAATAAAAAACATTGAAACAATATAAAAAAAATAACAGTTTAGGTCATATTCTTGCCATGTGTAAGAATACTTTGCTAGGGCACCAACTTTGATTAATACTCTAATATCTATATTGTGATACCTTTATTAGAAAGTTTAGCTACTGAAAACATGAGAAATATTTTGTTTTCATTAAGTACAGCAGAAGAAAAATCTTGAAACTGGAAAGAAAATGTTGTTATCAATATAAGGTATTGTTGTTGCTATGCGACACATTCTGTTGCTAGGGAAATTATTGTCACTTCCCAAATGTTTGCATTATAATACCTTTGTAAAAAAGTTAGTCCATATAATTATGTCACATATGCTATGATTTGTTTCCATTTCACAAGTTTGGACGATAGAAAATGTTGTTACCAGTAATAAATCTTATAGCCATGCCGTTGCTATGTGATATAATTCGTTGCTAAGGTACCAAATGTAAATATATTAAAAGTTTAATTTAAGCCTTTGCTAGCAAAAGCCATTAGTTGATAACTTCCATAAGTGATTTAATTACATCAATATTAAGCAGCATATTTGTATGATAATTAAAAGTTACAGAATCTTTTTGTAATGCTTTGTGTCATTTTTCTCTTAAAAAATACTGGTGTGACACCTATATTTGAAGTGCCGCTACGCATGCGCCGAGAAAGAAAACATGCTAAAATCCCCCAATTCATTAATTACGTTACTATCCTTACTCAGTATAGGTATTTCATCAAATTTGAAGAGGGGGCCAAATTTGACCCAAATCATACATACTCCTTTTTTGAAAACCTATTCATCCTGTAGGAATGATTAGATTTTGCTCAAAATTGGCTTGAAACATTCTTGGGTACAGGGGAATCAATTTTCTTCAAACAAGGGGCAGGTGGGTTGGGGCACAATACAGGAAAAATAGCAAATTCTTTAAAATCCTATACTTTCTCTAGGAATGATTGGATTTTGCCAAAATATGGTCAGAAGCATTGTTGGGGAAAGGAAATCAATTGTGTATAAATGATGGATCCAGGCCACAGGGACAGGGACCAATAGGGGAAATAGAGCAAATTCTTTAAAATCCTAATCCTCCTGTAGGAATGATTCAATTTTGTCCCAATTTGAACAGTTTTGCATAAAAGGTGGGTCTGGGGTGGGAAGGGCAGGGCCCATTATTGGAAACAGGGAAAATTCTTTAAAATCCTGAAGGAATGATTTGGTCTGAAGTATTAATGGTTTTGCTGAACCCCTAAGGACAGGGGTTTGGGGTCTAAGAGAAACTTAGATAGGTTTTTTGTTGTGTGCTTGAATATTGAGAATTCTATTCCTTTAGTTTAAATGAAGCAATTTCAGCCAAGCAAGGCAGATGGGCAATACAGGCCCCATTGGACTCTTATTACACTGTATACAATGCAGCACTATTGAGTGAGACTTTGAGCTAATTACAGACAACAAATCATAATTTGTTGATGTTTCAGTGGGTGAGCTTATTACCTGATACGCAACAAGAATTAAAACTATGAAGTAAAGTTCAGTTGAAAGTGTTTTGAAGATGCTTGCTTATATTTACAGTATTTGTCCTGATTTGTTTTAATCTAATAATGATATTGACAGACATATTTGAAGTATTAAGTGTTTTACATTATGTATTCCAGGAGGTTGGATTATGACTTTCATCCCGACAGACTCTATAAGTTCAATGTTACGGCGACAGATCATGGAGCTCTGCCTAAAAAGGGCTGGGCTAGTGTGGTCATTTATGTCACGAATATCAACGACGAGAAACCTCGGTTTGGAACAGGGTTAGAGGAAATCTATGCCAGCATCAGGGAGGACCTGACGGCTAATAACTATGTGACGATGATCCAGGCTGTTGATCCAGATGGTGACAATGTGGAGTACTTTTTCACAGGTTAGAGAGTTTCATCAAAATAAGTTATAATGTATCACCAGTCTTTGATCTGATGGCCCTTTCTGTCAAGGAATATCAATAAAAATGTCTTGCCACGAAATCCTGGACAGTTTCATAAAACTTTACATCTCCTCTGTTATTTTAAAATGTTAATTTTCATTGCATTTAATTTCATATCCGTTAATTTTCACAGAACGATTGACGAAAGCCCCAAATGGTCCTTTCATAATTGATCCGAAGTCTGGAGTGATTCAGTTGTCCAACTCCATCCCACCAGCCATACCCAAGTATGTGTTAAACATAACTGCATACGATGATGGATCTTGCTGTGAAGGTCACGTAACACAGCGCCAGGATGCAGTTCTTGTTGTAGAGATCAAGGACATCAACAACAATAACCCAGGCTTTCCCTCATGTAACTACCAACCTACAGTGATGGAGAACCAACCGGTGGGGACTAGGGTAGTGCAGGTAAGGACTGGTCCAAAGGGCAGGGGGCAGAGGTTACACAGGTAAGGACTGGTCCTGGGGGCAGGGTGCTGAGATTACACAGGTAAGGACTGGTCCTGGGGGCAGGGTGCTGAGGTTACACAGGTAAGGACTGGTCCTGAGGGCAGGGGGCTGAGATTACACAGGTAAGGACTGGTCCAAAGGGCAGGGGGCTAAGGTTACACAGTTAAGGACTGGTGCAAAGGGCAGGGGGCTAAGGTTACACAGGTAAGGACTGGTCCTAAGGGCAGGGGGCGGAGGTTACACAGGTAAGGACTGGTCTTAAGGGCAGGGGGTGAAGGGTACACAGGTAAGGACTGGTCCAAAGGGCAGGGGGCGGAGGTTACACAGGTAAGGACTGGTCCTGGGGGCAGGGTGCTGAGATTACACAGGTAAGGACTGGTCCTGGGGGCAGGGTGCTGAGGTTACACAGGTAAGGACTGGTCCTGAGGGCAGGGGGCTGAGATTACACAGGTAAGGACTGGTCCAAAGGGCAGGGGGCTAAGGTTACACAGGTAAGGTCTGGTGCTGAGTGCAGGGGGCTAAGGTTACACAGGCAAGGACTGGTCCTGAGGTCAGGGGACTAAGGTTACACAGGTAAGGACTGGTCCTGAAGGCAGGGGGCTGAGGTTACACAGGTAAGGACTGGTCCTGAGGGCAGGGGGCTAAGGTTACACAGGTAAGATTGCTTGTTGAGGGGCAGGAACCAGGATAACTACCAAGCTACAGTGGTTCAGAACCATCTAGGGGGACCAGTATTGTACAGGTAAGGTCTGATTCTGAGGTGTGGGGGGGTCCTGAGGTGTGGGATCATTATACAATGACATGGATCTAGACTGTTCGGGGAAGGGTTGTACAGGTGAGATCTGATCCATAGGAGTGATGATTAGTTCTGTACAAGCTCTGAAAAGGGTCTTTGTGTGATAGTATCAAATAATTGTGTTTGTTGTAAATAAAGAAAATGTTTTAAAAACTTCTTGGAGTATCAGATTGATATTGAAATGTATTCTTTGATGTCCATTCTTAGAATGTTACCAATGTTCAAAATGATGTATCAAATTGTCAACATTGAATATTGAAATGTATTGGTATCTACTTTAGGTGAGAGCTGAAGACAATGATCGTGGACCGAATGGTCAGATCACCTATTCAGTGGTCACTCCAGCTTACCAGACTAAGAACTTCGATGTTGACCCTGACAATGGAACTGTGGTCACCAACATTGTGTTCGACCGGGAATCAGAGCAGGGTTCCCGTGGTTACCCAGTAACCATTAAAGCTGAAGACAAGGGACAGCCGCAGCAGCTCAACAGTCTGTGTACCTTCTGGGTTCATATCGATGACCGCAACGACAATCGGCCCATGTTTGATTCGCTCTCCTACTCCAAACAAATAACACGCACGTTTGAGGTCAATAAGCGTGTAACGGGTGTATTAGCGACAGACCGTGACATGGGACAGAATGCTGAAGTGGTTTACCTCCTGGAGTCCAACCCTGGAAATTACTTTAGAATAGAAGAAGATACGGGCTCAATCTTTTTGGACAAGAGTCTCATTGATGTAAGAAGGAAATTTCTAGTTCTTTTTCAATGAGATTTTTAGACCCTGAGATAAATACTTAATGGTCTGTTCTAGAGGTTTATGATGATTAAGTATTGTAAACACATATTGTGATATAGACTTCTCCGAAAATGAGAGAATGGAAATGACGACATATTGGTGACATTTGAGTGAATGGGGCCTCAGTGGCAGGGATCAAAAGAGAAAATTCTTTTAAAACTTACTACTCCTGTATGAATGATGGGATTTAGCAAAATTTGATCTAAAGCATTCCTGAGGAAAGGGGGATAAATTTTGTATAAATGGTGAGTCTGCCCCCTTGGGTGGGAGAGGTGGGTGGGGCAAATTATTCAAAATCCTACCCTTCCTGTAGGAAAGATTGGATTTTGTCAAAATTTGGTCTGCAACATTGTTGGGAAAATAGGGGAAATCAGTTTTGAATAAACTATGGGTCACCCTTCCTGGGATGGAAGGGATGGGGCCCAATAGGGGAAATAGGGTAAATTCTTTGAAATCCTACTTCTCCTGAAGGAATGATTTGGTCTGAAGTATGAATGATTTGACTGACCCCCTGAATGTTTTGTGTTGTGTGGTTGGATATTTAGAATTCCTTTTCCTCTAATTTTCTCGAAGCAACTTCAGTCAAACAAAGTCAGGTGAGCGATACAGGATCTGTGGGCCTCTTGTTTAAATCTGAAAGCTTTTACTTCTTCTTTCATTCCAAACCTAAGATTCCACTCTCTTGTGCAATGATAAGGTAAATCATTTAGAGTACTTTCATTTTCCTTTTTCACAGATTCCGTACACCAGTAATCAGACTAGTATTATTGTAATGGCGAAGGACAAGGGTAATCCACCTCTCAACTCCACCGTGCGTGTCACCATCAGTCTGGCTGCCTCACAAGGGGAGGTACCTACCTGGGACGAGAGTTACGATGGCATGGTTTATGAGGTTGAGGAGACGGTACCTTCGGGTCACACCATTGGTCGATTTACAGCCAGCTCTAACATATTAGATCCACAATTGCAGGGTGTCAGTTTTGCTCTCATCAAGTCGGATGGTTCCCAGTCGCAGTTTGACGACATGTTCCGGATTTCCACCTCATCCAACTTGGTGAAACTGAAGCTGCGCGGAAATCTGGATTACAATCACAAGAATATGTACACTGTCCGGTTACGTGTCACGGTAAGTTTTAGAATAAAGTGTACATGAAGTTGTCCGGTGACGTGTCATGGTAAGTTTTAGAATGTAGTGTCCATGAAGTTGTCCGGTTTCGTGTCATGGTAAGTTTTAGAATGTAGTGTCCATGAAGTTGTCAGGTTTCATGTCACGGTAAGTTTTAGAATGTAGTGTCCATGAAGTTGTCCGGTTACGTGTCACAGTTAGTTTAAGAATATAGTGTCTATGAAGTTTACCCTTTTCCCGTCTGTGATTTATACATCTCAGTGTAACAGAAATCTGTCTGATACCTGCGTGTAACTGAGGCACTGGAAACTCTTAATCTAACAGCAGGTTGGGTAGGACTTACTGATTAACCTGTCAAATAAAGTGGAACCAGACCTGAACTGGTCTAATCTTTAGGACAAAAACATCTCTTTCTTAGGGTTAAATTTTGACATCTTTTTTAATTGTAGATTAAAACCAAAACAATTATCATTTACTTATCACAGTGAGATAATGCTGTAAATTATTCTACTATCCAGAACAAGGGCCTGAACCCAGCATCTAATGAAATGCGTGTGACGGTGAAAGTAAAAGACATGAACAATCAGCCACCAAGATTTGAGGGACTCGACCCGACTATGAGTAACACCTACCGAGGCAGTGTTCCAGAAAATGAACCTGTTGGTCAGACAGTCATCACTGTCAAAGCTGTTGATGCAGACCACGACCCCCCTAACAACGAGGTGAGCAGATTGCAAAATTTAGAAACATTGGCAAAATAAATAAAATAAATAACATAAACAAAACAAAATAAACAAAAAATTTGTGAGTTAATGGATGTTAAGTGTTTTAATGTTGGAAATCAGTAAAGATTATTTGAATTTATTTTTGAATTTTATTTAGTTAAAATAAAGCACTTACAATAATGCATGTGCTTTGCTATGAAAATGTCTCTGACATTAATGTAAGCAATGTAAGCAGTGTTGGTTATAAAGAAGGTGTACCATCTGATACAGGTCAGATACAGTATAATAGAAGATCGGTATGGCGTCCACCGACTGTTTGACATCAATCCACTGACCGGTCTGATCACCACCAACTTCACATTTGATCGGGAGCTCGACAACCTCTACTACATCGACATCATGGCTGTTGATGGCAAGCCATCAGATGTGCGTGACCATGAACCTCCAAACAGTCCAAACAGTGGTAGGTAGTTTGGCATTGTCTTAGAGCAAAAAGTGGATTTCCATCAACCAGCCATCATCACCTGATTTTACATAGAAAAGTGTTAAGTGGTTCGTAAAGAACTTGTTAGCAGGATGGATGAAGGTTAATTGGATTAACCACGGGTGACGTTACTGGCTTCACCCCTTAAAGCTTGTGGTAGATTTATATATCTCTAAGAATGCTAGCTGACTAAATTGTGGTTGGTCACCCTCTCAGATTGCAGTGTAGCTCTATAGGGAAGTATCAGTGAATTGTATATTAAGTTCTGATTCAGTGCTCTACCATATTAGAACGAGACTATCAGTGTTGTCATTATCTCTTGTCATCTCACTTCTGGTCATAGCTCGTAAAATCAAGGCTGACATGTTTTGAAGGGTCATCAAGGAATAAGATATCAGTTCTGTATAGTTATCAAATTTATAATTATTTAGATGATGTTCAATGTTATGTGTGAACATCCTTTTAACTGTGTTAGAATACCTTTTTATCGCAATTTGAGGGTATTTTGTAATATACAGATTTGTTGATGTTTGATGCCACCCTTTGACTGTAGATAGGTGTCTGTAGATGTCTTTATATATACAGATTTGTTGATGTTTGATGCCACCCTTTGACTGTAGATAGGTGTCTGTAGATGTCTTTATATATACAGATTTGTTGATGTTTGATGCCACCCTGTGACTGTAGATAGGTGTCTGTAGATGTCTTTATATATACATATGTTTGATGCCACCCTTTGACTGTAGATAGGTGTCTGTAGATGTCTTTATATATACAGATGTTTGATGCCACCCTTTGACTGTAGATAGGTGTCTGTAGATGTCTATATATATACAGATATGTTGATGTTTGATGCCACCCTTTGACTGTAGATAGGTGTCTGTAGATGTCTTTATATATACAGATTTGTTGATGTTTGATGCCACCCTGTGACTGTAGATAGGTGTCTGTAGATGTCTTTATATATACAGATGTTTGATGCCACCCTTTGACTGTAGATAGGTGTCTGTAGATGTCTTTATATATACAGATGTTTGATGCCACCCTTTGACTGTAGATAGGTGTCTGTAGATGTCTTTATATATACAGATGTTTGATGCCACCCTTTGACTGTAGATAGGTGTCTGTAGATGTCTTTATATATACAGATGTTTGATGCCACCCTGTGACTGTAGATATGTCTGTAGATGTCTTTATATATACAGATGTTTGATGCCACCCTTTGACTGTAGATAGGTGTCTGTAGATGTCTTTATATATACAGATGTTTGATGCCACCTTGTGACTGTAGATAGGTGTCTGTAGATGTCTTTATATATACAGATGTTTGATGCCACCCTTTGACTGCAGATAGGTGTCTGTAGATGTCTATATATATATAGATTTGTTGATGTTTTATGCCACCCTTTGACTGTAGATAGGTATCTGTGGATGTCTATATATATATAGATATGTTGATGTTTGATGCCACCCTTTGACTGTAGATAGGTGTCTGTAGATGTCTATATATATACAGATATGTTGATGTTTGATGCCACCCTTTGACTGTAGATAGGTGTCTGTAGATGTCTTTATATATACAGATGTTTGATGCCACCCTTTGACTGTAGATAGGTGTCTGTAGATGTCTTTATATATACAGATGTTTGATGCCACCCTTTGACTGTAGATAGGTGTCTGTAGATGTCTTTATATATACAGATGTTTGATGCCACCCTGTGACTGTAGATAGGTGTCTGTAGATGTCTTTATATATACAGATGTTTGATGCCACCCTTTGACTGTAGATAGGTGTCTGTAGATAGGTGTCTAGATGACTTGTTTAGGAATAGGCCAACAACTTGGCATATACAAATTTTACCTCTGGTTTTCTCTTATGTTTTCACAGCAACAGCCCAGGTGCTGGTTGTAATTGGTGACAAGAATGACAACACGCCACGGTTCCAGGAGACTCTGTATGAGAAAGAAGTCCAGGAACAGCCACCAGACAGCAGTAAAGCTATCATTCGAGTACTGGCAGAAGACCTGGATAGTTGTGAGTACTTGGTTTCTATTCCTTGGTTTACCTCATGCTGTGGGTCTGCGTTCACTGTCATTGTTCATTGCAGTGAGTATTATTATGATATTAGATGTTTGTTTCATAAGATTGCTGCCATGATGAGCAGGTTTACTTACTTTAGTGGTTTGTGTTGATCAGCTGATGTCCTGACGTACACCATCACCAGCGGTAACGTGGGGAATGTGTTTGGAATCAAACAAAAGACTGGAGAAATCTACGTAGCTCGAGACCTAGATTACGAAACTCCACCAAAGGTACACTAGTATTACATTGTGGAATATTTCAAAACAAAGTTGAAAGTTTAATGCTTTTGTTAAGAAAATGACATTGAATGTTTTTTATTGGAAATTTGATGTCTTGTGATAGTTAAGACAAATTGAAACTGTCTATAGATTTTGTTTCAATATAGGGAAAGTTTTATAAGAGATTAGAGTGAAGATAATTAATTTGTTTGTGGATTAAAGGATCTCTTTCAATCCTTTCTGAATTTTTTTCTGCTAGGTCTACAACTTGACCATAACGGCCAATGATGGTTACCATACCAACACGACACGGGTCAAACTGACAGTGCTGGATATCAATGATAACCAGCCTGAGTTCACTCAAGCTGAGTACATCATTCAGGACGTGGTGGAGGAGATTGATCCTCCAGCTGGACAACAGAAATTCCTTGTACAGGTCAGTTAAACATTTGTAGTAAACATATCTAACCTAAACTGTGTAAAGAGAGCAGTATGATCGTATCTTCTGTGTGTAACGAGAAAGAGGGCTTTAATAGCATTACAATGGGATTAAATATGATGTTTTAAACAGTAATAGCATTACACTGGGATTAAATATGATGTTTTAAACAGTAATAGCATTACACTGGGATTAAATATGATGTTTTAAACAGTAATAGCATTACACTGGGATTAAATATGATGTTTTAAACAGTAATAGCATTACACTGGGATTAAATATGATGTTTTAAACAGTAATAGCATTACACTGGGATTAAATATGATGTTTTAAACAGTAATAGCATTACACTGGGATTAAATATGATGTTTTAAACAGTAATAGCATTACACTGGGATTAAATATGATGTTTTAAACAGTAATAGCATTACACTGGGATTAAATATGATGTTTTAAACAGTAATAGCATTACACTGGGATTAAATATGATGTTTTAAACAGTAATAGCATTACACTGGGATTAAATATGGTGTTTTAAACAGTAATAGCATTACACTGGGATTAAATATGGTGTTTTAAACAGTAATAGCATTACACTGGGATTAAATATGGTGTTTTAAACAGTAATAGCATTACACTGGGATTAAATATGGTGTTTTAAACAGTAATAGCATTACACTGGGACTAAATATGGTGTTTTAAACAGTAATAGCATTACACTGGGATTAAATGTGGTGTTTTAAACAGTAATAGCATTACACTGGGATTAAATGTGGTGTTTTAAACAGAGTTGGAGATGTTTTAGTCATGTATGTCATATGTTTTGGTATTTTTAGCCCACCCTGATGATGGTGGGCTATTCAAATCACTCTGCATCCATGGTCCGTCCGTCCATAAACAATTCTTGTTACCACTATTTCTGGAAAAGTACTGGATGGATCTTTCTCAAATTTCATATGCAGGTTCCCCTTGGTCCCTAGTTGTGCATTGTACCTTTTTTGAACTGATTCGCATTCAAGATGGCCGACAGGTGGCCATCTTGGATTTTGGAAGTAAAAGTTTGTTACCGCTATTTCTGGAAAAGTACTGGATGGATATTTCTTAAATTTCATATGCAGGTTCCCCTTGGTCCCTAGTTGTGCATTGTACCTTTTTTGGACTGATTCGAATTCAAGATGGCCGACAGGTGGCCATCTTGGATTTTGGAAGTAAAAGTTTGTTACCGCTATTTCTGAGAAAGTACTAAATGGATCTTCCTCAAATTTCATATGCAGTTTCCCCTTGGTCCCTAATTGTGCATTGTACCTTTTTTGGACTGATTCGAATTCAAGATGGCCGACAGGCAATCATCTTGGATTTTGGAAGTAAAAGTTTGTTACTGCTATTTCTTGGAAAGTACTGGATGGATCTTTCTCAAATTTCATATGCAGGTTCCCTTTGGTTCCAAGTTGTGCATTATACCTTTTTGGACTGCGAAATCAAGATGGCTGACAGGCAGCCATCTTGGATTTTGAGAGTAAAATCTTGTTACTGCTATATCTGAGGAAGTCCAGGATGGATCCTTCTGATATTTCATAGATATTGGTTTCCCTTGGTCCCTAGTTGTGCATTGTACCTTTTTTGGACTGATTTGAAATCAAGGTGGCCCACAGGCAGCCATCTTGGATGTCGACAGTAATACAGCACAAGCATATTGTCCATTATCCACCTGTAACTGACTGCTATCTAATAATACTTTGGGATCTTTTTCAAATGATATTTGCTAATAGGTGCTTAATAAAAATATCTTGTGCCATCATTGAGTACATTCAATGAAGACCAGTTCATGAACATTTACAACACCTGTAACAAACAAAAAAAAATCTTCAAGAACTGAAAACAGATCCTCAAATGGTGGGCGCCAAGATCCCTCTGGGATCTCTTGTTTCGATTGAGTTTGTTACTGCCATTTCTTGAGAAGTAGGTAATGGATCTTTCTTAAATTTCATATGTAGGTTGTCCTTAGTTGTGCCCATTGGATTTTGGGACTGATCAGAAAAAACAAAATGACTGACAGATGGACATCTTAGATTTTGACTCAGAAACTTTGTCATCGCTATATGATGAGAATTACATACAGCTTATCGCTGCCGCCATTTGTCCGTCTGTCAGCTTGCCCTCCTGCTCTTTCACGTCCGGAGCATAACTTTGCCCACAGTTTGCCCACAGTTAAGCAAGGATCGTGAAACTGTTTATACATTGGTCATACTAAGGGAACGTGCTGTGGACTAAATTCAGGATCCTCGACCCCTCAGTTACAGTTATTACCCTTTGTTGAAATTTCATGTCAAGAGCATTACCTTGCTTTGTTTAAATTAGGATAATGTATACATTGATCCTGTTTAGATGTTATGCAGTGTTCCAATAATAGGGCCCACAACCCCTTAATTACAGAGTTATTGCCCTTTGTTTAAAAATTCTCATCTAGAGCAAAGAACATGAGACTTATGAAACATATTAAAAGAATTTGCAGTAAACCAAATTCTGGGCCTGCAACATCTTAATTAGAGTTATGGCCCTTTGTTAATTTATCGGCATTCATCAGCTTCACTGAAATTCTTGTATTTTGCAGGTCAGTGCTACAGACAAAGACATTGACCGTCCACACAACTTTCGGTACAGTCTAAACATTGATGACCAAGATCCTTCTAACCCAATGTTCACCATCGGTCCAGAGGATGGCAGGATTTTCTTGAAACGTAGTCTTGACCGTGATCTCCCGAATGGTCGAGCTGAGTACCAGTTTAACATTATTGTTGAAGATGAACCTGGAAATCCACAGTCACTGATTGGCTACGCTTACGTGAAAGTTCAACCGAAGGATATCAATGACAATGCTCCATTGTTTGTTGGAAATCTAACAGGATATGTTCCAGAAAATTCGGCTAAAAGTAAGATTTGTTTGAAATGGAGATACAAGAAAATGATAAGGTTGACATAATATTTCTTCTTGTCTGAGTGGCATTATTATGTTTGTAGTTTGTAATTTCGTGCTCTTTTCAGTCTTTTCAGTTGTGTTTTTATCAGAAAGCATGGGAAACAGGTAACATGCTTTTCCACATTTTATAACTGCGAGTAAAATTGAAAACTTTTTGTCATTACATCAGACATAAGAAAAAAAGCAATTTAAAGTTATTTCCATTTGAATGATGAAAGACATAAGACATAAAGAGATGAGCGTTTTAATAAGATTTTTTTTTTATGTTGTAGGGAAGAATATTATGACGGTGCGAGCCAAGGATTATGATTTAGGAATGAATGGAACCGTTTACTATCAGATAGATGGAAGAGGTAACACACCATCCAATCCCAATAATGGGGACTACCTGTTTAAGATCCAGGAGTCGTCTGGTCTGGTGTACTCCAACACAGACATCCTGAACCGTGAGGTGTTGGACCGATACTACCTACAGGTGATAGCCTTTGACCGTGGCGTCCCACAGAGAAGTAGCACGGCCACAGTGACTATTAAAGTCTCTGACGAAAACGATGAGGCTCCAGTATTTCTGCAGAAGATCTACCGTGTCACACTCTCAGAGAGTCAGAAAAGTGGTCCAGTCATTACGGTGTCCGCCACAGATGATGATATTGGGGAGAATGCCAAGCTAACATACACCCTACAAAGTGATCTGAGTTTCTTTTCCATCACTACGTTACCATCCAACGCTGGTGTCATCAATGTGTTCAATGTGAGTCTGTACAAGGCTTTTCTTTAATAATCCTCGTCATAAATTCATTATTCTGATGGTAGAATTTTTAATATTTCTTTCTAAATGATGATACGTGTGTAGCAAAAAGTTTCTTCTGGTTCTTCACTCTAAAGAATACATTTGAATAACCCTTTCTCTTATACCCTCAGCCTGTGGACTACGAAAATGTCAACCAAAGGTTCTTTAATCTGACTGTGAAGGCAAGAGACTCTAACCCTCTTCATGAAGATCATGCCTTCGTTGAGATTACAGTCACAGATGCCAATGATGAACCACCAAAGTTCACCGATACTGTTAAGATCATGGACTTCAATGAAAACATCGAGGAAGGGACGTTGCTCTATACATTTGCGGCCAGTGATAAGGACAGCCCTCCAAACAACGATTTCACGTACGACCCTCACTTGTTATTGACTCGCCCTGCTCAAAACTGCTTTCTTTTGTGATTAAATTTAAATAGTTTGAAATAAGTTTATATTTCTAAAATTTTACCGGAAAAATAATTGTCATTATAAACATAAATTTTCGCAATAAGATGTTGATTGGTAAAGTTGTTTCTTTATGTAATCTTTAGTGCTTCCTTCACTGGATTCACAGTTTTGCCAATATTTAGTGGTAAAATGATCTTACTGTTGTGATAAAAGATTGGTCTTCAAGTACAGTGCATTTTTCAGAATTTTTGTGAAACGACATATGATGAATATGCCAATTGCTGTATCATTGATCTAAAAAAAATGTTCAACGGAAAAGAATGAAGACTGATATGTTTATGACATAATTTATAAACAATCTGTTGCAGGTTTGCTATAGCTGACTACTCAGATCGGTTTTATGTTGAACAACAAGGCAACAAGGGCTACGTTAAGATCCAGAAAGGTTTGGATGGACAGACGCTGGACAGGGAGACTAGCTCAAAATATACTGTTGAAGTGCTCGCCATTGACAAAGGTCAGTTAGTGTCAGGGTGGGATAGATTTTACCAAGAAGTATCAATGAGCCAAACAGTCAACCAAGGACAGGGTGTTAGACTGTTAAAGTCAGGGAGAAGATTTTAAACTGTTTAAATCAGGGACAAGGTGTTTAACTGTTAAGATCAGGGACAAGGTGTTTAACTGTTTAAATCAGGGACAAGGTGTTTTAACTGTTTAAATCAGGGACAAGGTGTTTTAACTGTTTAAATCAGGGACAAGGTGTTTTAACTGTTTAGATCAGGGGCAAGGTGTTTAACTGTTTAAATCAGGGACAAGGTGTTTAACTGTTTAAATCAGGGGCAAGATGTTTAACTGTTTAGATCAGGGGCAAGGTGTTTAACTGTTTAAATCAGGGACAAGGTGTTTAACTGTTTAAATCAGGGTCAAGGTGTTTAACTGTTTAGATCAGGGGCAAGGTGTTTAACTGTTTAGATCAGGGACAAGGTGTTTAACTGTTTAAATCAGGGGCAAGGTGTTTAACTGTTTAGATCAGGGACAAGGTGTTTAACTGTTTAAATCAGGGACAAGGTGTTTAACTGTTTAGATCAGGGGCAAGGTGTTTAACTGTTTAAATCAGGGACAAGGTGTTTAACTGTTTAAATCAGGGACAAGGTGTTTAACTGTTTAAATCAGGGACAAGGTGTTTTAACTGTTTAAATCAGGGACAAGGTGTTTTAACTGTTTAAATCAGGGACAAGGTGTTTAACTGTTTAAGTCAGGGACAAGGTGTTTTAACTGTTTAAATCAGGGACAAGGTGTTTTAACTGTTTAGATCAGGGGCAAGGTGTTTAACTGTTTAAATCAGGGACAAGGTGTTTTAACTGTTTAAATCAGGGACAAGGTGTTTTAACTGTTTAAATCAGGGACAAGGTGTTTTAACTGTTTAGATCAGGGGCAAGGTGTTTAACTATTTAGATCAGGGGCAAGGTGTTTAACTGTTTAAATCAGGGACAAGGTGTTTTAACTGTTTAAATCAGGGACAAGGTGTTTTAACTGTTTAGATCAGGGACAAGGTGTTTAACTGTTTAAATCAGGGACAAGGTGTTTTAACTGTTTAAATCAGGGACAAGGTGTTTTAACTGTTTAGATCAGGGACAAGGTGTTTAACTGTTTAGATCAGGGGCAAGGTGTTTAACTGTTTAAATCAGGGACAAGGTGTTTAACTGTTTAAATCAGGGACAAGGTGTTTTAACTGTTTAGATCAGGGACAAGGTGTTTAACTGTTTAAATCAGGGACAAGGTGTTTTAACTGTTTAAATCAGGGACAAGGTGTTTAACTGTTTAGATCAGGGGCAAGGTGTTTAACTGTTTAAATCAGGGACAAGGTGTTTTAACTGTTTAAATCAGGGACAAGGTGTTTTAACTGTTTAAATCAGGGACAAGGTGTTTTAACTGTTTAAATCAGGGACAAGGTGTTTTAACTGTTTAAATCAGGGACAAGGTGTTTAACTGTTTAAATCAGGGACAAGGTGTTTTAACTGTTTAGATCACGGACAAGGTGTTTAACTGTTTAAATCAGGGACAAGGTGTTTTAACTGTTTAAATCAGGGACAAGGTGTTTAACTGTTTAAATCAGGGACAAGGTGTTTAAGTTGTATAAGTGTTTTGACTGGGACAAGGTGCAAGATATAAAGTAAGGTCAAAGGATTTTAGTCAACTTAGAAAGGTTTTATAAACCTCACCAGGAGTTGGAAATCAATAAGGACATGATACCCTGGCAAGCATTTCAGAGTATGCAGTCCAGATAAGGTTCGGTATCAGTGGTTTGGTTGTAGTCTGAAAATTGCATCAGGATGCGAGCCTTACTTCCTGTTGTTTACCATCATTTATGATATACATGATGTTGATAGCCTTAATCAGATTTCAGATTTATATTTCAAAATTGTTTCACCATATTTTTTGCAGGTGACCCACCTTTAACTGGAACAGCTACTCTCATCCTGAATGTGGCTGATCTCAATGATGAGGCTCCAACATTTGCAGAGAATTATCGACCAATCGTGATGGAGGATGACCCCTATCCCCAACAAGTGTTAACCTTCAAAGCACGAGATCGGGACACACGTCCACATGGACCTCCATTTAAGTTCTATCTGCCTGATTGTGCAGATAATCCGACCTGTGATAGAAATGGCATGCAGAACTTTACCTTGATATTTAACCAATGTGAGTAGAATTTGTGATGTCATTGACAGTGTCAGATCAGAGAAAACTAGATTTTGAGAGATTCAATCATACAGTAAAGCAGGTATTCTGGTGTTAGGATATTTATAGCAAATCTTAACCCGATTTATAATTACATTCTTTTTGCCGTGTGTGCTATAAAAACCCAGGAGATGTGTGTTTGTGGTTTTTTAGGTCATCTGACCCAAAGGGTCCGATGACCTATAGTCATCATGTTTCGTCCGTCGTCGTCCGCCGTGCGCCGTCCACCGTGCGCCGTCCGTAAACTTTTCATTCAAACGACTTCTTCTCAATAATTGGAAGGCCCAGGCAACTAATATTTGGCCTGTAGCTTGCTTTGATGAAGCCCTACCAAGTTTGTTAAAAAGAATGACCTTGACCTTCATTCAAGGTCACAGGGGTCAAATGTCTTAAAATCTTCAAAGGACTTCTTCTCAGTAATCAAAAGGCCCAGGCAACTAAAATAAGGCCTGTAGCATGCTGGGATGAAGGACTACCAAGTTTGTTCAAATGAATGACCTTGACCCACTTTAAAGGTCACAGGGGTCAAATATGTTAAAATCTTTAAACAACTTCTTCTCAATAACCAAAAGGCTCAGATTGCTGATATTGTGCCTGTGGCATGCTGGGATGAAGGGCTATCAAGTTTGTTTAAATGAATGACCTTGAACAACTTTCAAGGTCACAGGGGTCAAATATGTCAAAATCTTTAAATAACTTCTTCTCAAATACTAGAAGGCCTAGGGGGCTAATACTTGGCCCATAGCATGCTGGCATGGAGCCCTACAAAGTTTGTTCAAATGAATGACCTTGGCCCACTTTCAAGGTCACAGGGGTCAAATATGTTAAAATATACAAAGGACTTCATCTCAATAAGCAAAAGTCTATGAGTGCCGATATTGGGTCTGTAGCATGCTGGGAGGAAAGGCTACCAAGTTTATTTAATTGAATGACCTTGAACAAATTTCAAGGTCGCAGGGTGCAAAAATGTCAAAAGCTTTAAATAACTTCTAATCAAATAATAGAAGGCCTAGGGGGCTAATACTTGGCCCATAGCATGCTGGCATGGATCCCTACAAATTTTGTTCAAATGAATGACCTTGGCCCACTTTCAAGGTCACAGGGGTAAAATATGTTAAAATATACAAAGGACTTCATCTCTATAAGCAAAAGTCTATGAGTGCCGATATTGGGTCTGTAGCATGCTGGGAGGAAAGGCTACCAAGTTTATTCAAATGAATGACCTCAACCCACTTTCAAGGTCACAGGGGTCAAATATGTTAAAATATACAAACGACTTCTTCTCAACAAGCAAAAGTCCATGAGTGCTGATATTGGGCCTGTAAGATGCTTGGAGGAGAGGCTACCAAGTTTGTTCAAATGAATGACCTCAACCCACTTTCTAGGTTTGGCTTGCTTTTTGTCAGATGACCGTTAAGGCCCATGGGCCTCTTGTTTCTTTTTATACGCCTGTCAAAAGACGGACATATGATGGTATGGCGCTGTCCGTCCATCCGGTATCTGTTGTAAACTTTTATTTGCCCAGTGATCTCCTCCTACATTTTTCAGCCGATCTTTATGAAACTTGGTAGGCTTAATCACCATGATATGAAGTTGTGTTTTCTTGAACGGGGTTTTGATTTGGTGATTTGAACAAGAGTTATGGCCCTTTGTTTATTTCACTATAGAAACTTTGATTCAAAGTAAGGACGAGTTTGTGATACAATGCAATAGTATTTTATTTGATTTTAAACAGAACAACTTCGTATAATTACTTCACAATCAACAACTACTGAATTACAGTTTTAAGAATTTGCGGGAATGTTTAAAGACTCATGATTACGATATGAACTAATATGTAGTATTTGTCAAATGTGTCTGGCTTTCTATTGTTCAGCTGGTGATGGCAGTAATGGAACAGGGACTATCTACGCCCAGAATCGTTTCCTTCGAGAGGAGAAAAAGTTTTATTACCTTCCTATAGTGATGACTGATATGGGAGGTTATCATCCACTTAGCATGACTGGTACCAGTACGTTGACCATCGAGATTGGCGATAAAAACAACAACCAGCACACAGACGGATCTAAGGACATCTTCGTTTACAATTACAAAGGTACAGATAGACTGGATATATTGGAACTGACTGTCATGATAATGGAGAAACATTGAGAATTTGTCTATACACCTGTTTCAAAACATTTTCTGATCATATATAGGGAGTTGAAATTATCATCACATTTTTCAAAACTCTCCATGAATAGTTCCAAGGCCATTTTGGTTGAAAACCATAACCAACACAAGCCAGTTTCTCGCCACTTTACACCAATAGGACATCACATTAGAAAGGTGAAAATCGTTGACCTCAAAACAACTTTTAAAAACTTAAATACATGCCTCGAGACGGAAAAGGCCTTCATATGATTTCTAAGAACTACAAAGCTAGAGGGACTCAATATCAGGCACGGAAAATAAACGAGGAACACTTTGGAAATTTTGCGATATTTTCTTATTTTCTTTACTACTATAATTGTGTAAACCTTTTCATCACAAAAATCTGTGTACTTTCTCTGACATCTCATGAAAACTTGATGTGTAGTTGATGGACGTCGTTACTGCTATTGAAGTCCTATGTTTTGAATTGTTACATGGTTCTCGAGACTGCATTCTTAGTATACTGACACATATCTTTAGTTTACTGATATTTTCTCACAGATGTGAACCAATCATCTCTACCTTTACCTTCGTTTACTTTTTTTAACCCGACGCTTTAATGCGAATATTCTGTCTGCAGAAAACATTAACCAAGTCATTTGAAACATATAAATTATACTGGATCTGTTTTTGTTGTATTATATTCCAGAAGAGATGAAGTGATATTGAGTTTAGGCTATACCAGACACGGGTTCTTACCTCTGTCAGTCCAGTATTAGTACAACAATGTCTCTCTCCTGAATAACAATTTATATCATGTCAATGTTACGTCACTGATATTAGACATGTATGAAGTTTGTAACCTCCCACAAGAAAACATCTGCTAATGTTTCTGAGTTATGAAGTTTGTAACCTCCCACAAGAAAACGTCTGCTAATGTTTCTGAGTTTTTGTTCGCTGTCTAGGTTTGTTTAGCAACATTGAAATAGGCAGAGCCAATGCTAATGACCCGGATGATTGGGACTTCAAGGACAAATGGTACTACTTCATCGGACCGAAGGACATGGCACGATTCTTCAAGTATGTTTGAGAATGGTTGTTGACTTTCATTTTGTCAAAATTAATTTGATGACAATCAAAATTCAACTCTTCTTCTCCAGTTAACAGAGGTCAAACATGACCTTTCTGTATTTGATTGAGATCAATATCTTGTAGACCAGAACATTTGGAATGATCCTGTACTAAGATGATACACACTTTTACAGAGAGGTGGTACACAACGATCTTCCTTCTTTTTTTCCTTAAATGCATTAAAGATGTTAATAAGTATTTACAAATAAACAAAATCAGATAATAAGTCATCGGTATTTATTTCCTTACATGGTTGTTTTCGCTGTTTTCAGTGTATCAAAAGAGAATGGGACCATTACAATGAAGAAAGGCGTGCCCGGTGGATATTACGAGTTCAAAGTCCTTGTGTATGATCATGTCGTGTTCAGTCATCGTAACGCCACAGCCACCATCCATGTGACGGTACAGGAGATAGACGATGATGCTGTGTTCAGTTCAGGGTCCGTTAGATTGTCTGGTAAGGATTTCTCATACTGTATCACATACAATATTGGTTGTGTAGAAACTTTTGTTTTCATGGCAAAAGACAAACTGTGAAAATAGAAAGCAGAAGACTTGAGATAAAGTAAATATAAAACAGAAGACTTGAGATAAAGTAAATATAAAACAGAAGACTTGAGATAAAGTAAATATAAAACAGAAGACTTGAGATAAAGTAAATATAAAACAGAAGACTTGAGATAAAGTAAATATAAAACAGAAGACTTGAGATAAAGTAATTATAAAACAGAAGACTTGAGATAAAGTAAATATAAAACAGAAGACTTGAGATAAAGTAAATATAAAACAGAAGACTTGAGATAAAGTAATTATAAAACAGAAGACTTGAGATAAAGTAAATATAAAACAGAAGACTTGAGATAAAGTAAATATAAAACAGAAGACTTGAGATAAAGTAAATATAAAACAGAAGACTTGAGATCAAGTAAATATGAAATATAAAGCAGAAGACTTGAGATAAAGTAAATATAAAGCATAAGACTTGAGATAAAGTAAATTTAAAATATAAAACAGAAGACTTGAGATAAAGTAAATATGAAATATAAAGCAGAAGACTTGAGATAAAGTAAATATGAAATATAAAGCAGAAGACTTGAGATAAAGTAAATATAAAACAGAAGACTTGAGATAAAGTAAATATAAAACAGAAGACTTGAGATAAAGTAAATATAAAACAGAAGACTTGAGATAAAGTAAATATAAAACAGAAGACTTGAGATAAATATAAATATAAAGCAGAAGACTTGAGATAAAGTAAATTTAAAATATAAAACAGAAGACTTGAGATAAAGTAAATATGAAATATAAAACAGAAGACTTGAGATAAAGTAAATATAAAACAGAAGACTTGAGATAAAGTAAATATAAAACAGAAGACTTGAGATAAAGTAAATATAAAACAGAAGAATATGAAGATAAAGTAAATATAAAACAGAAGACTTGAGATAAAGTAAATATAAAACAGAAGACTTGAGATAAAGTAAATGTAAAATATAAAACAGAAGACTTGAGATAAAGTAAATGTAAAATATAAAAAAGAAGACTTAAGATGGAGTAATTATAGATATGTAGCACCAGGTTTTATCCTAAGGTTTAACCCTTTAAAGAACTCAAAGATGTTGCTTGTTGAACAGTAGTTTATACTACAGGCCCTTTTTCTCAATGATGTTCTCCACCTGAAAATTTCATTAGAAATGAAATACAATAGAATTGAATACAACAAAAAAAATATGTTAAGGACATGTCTCCAGTAATCATCAACACCAGTTATACATTTGACCAAGGCTCCATGGAGCAATAACAGGAAGCTCTCTACTATTATTGTTTTTGTATATCTCTATAGGCACAAGTGCTGAAGCATTTATGGAGGAGGGACCTGCTGGAAGTAGTTACAACCAATTCAAGTCTCTTCTTGCCAGGCGACTAGGAGTACGAGAGAAAAACGTGGCCATTTTTAGCGTGATGAATAATGGCTCATATACAGATATCAGATATGCAGCTCATGGATCGCCTTGGTATCCAGCTAGCAAGCTTGACGGAACAGTTATGACGTACAAGGATGAGGTAAGCGATAGTTCGCAGGTCATCAAGACATGTCAGTACGTCTTTCTGTATTCCAAGTACATATTGGAAAGTAAGCAACTGAAGTCAGATTAACCAACTTCAGTCGGTCCTGTACTTGTGATTTATAAAATCTAACCGAATAGAACTTACTGCTTAAGCAAAAATCACAATTTTATTTTTGTTCCAGTTTGAAGCGGTATCAGGTGGCAAGATAGAAATGGTGAGCATTGACCTCTGTGTCAAGGAGGTGTGTGAAAGTGGAGGCTGCACCAACAACTTATTTGTAGACAATCGTCCAAGTCTCGTTAACACAAAGGGGCAGAGCTTTGTGGGTGTGTCTACAATGATCAGTACTGACTGTATATGTAAAGCTCGAGATTTCTCCAAACCACTCATGTGCAAGGCTGGGTACTGCTATAATGGAGGCACCTGTTCCCGAGACAACTGGGGCGAGGTCACGTAAGTTTTCTCAAATTGTTTTCGGAGTTTCATTGAAAATGATTGAAGTTAATACCTTCTGTACATGACTAGGACACAAGTTTGACCTTCCATTTAATGTATCATAGGTTAACATCACTGAGTGTTGGTTGTTGTCAGGAAAGTAAGGAAAGAAACATTTCATACAATCATAAATCGTATTGAAATAAATTTTGACCTGTTTCACGGTTTATCATTACAAAAACGCAGCACAATTTTTAGTCCAGGTGTAACAGTTTCAGCCTATATTCACAGCCCCTAAATGTGGATCCTAGCTTTCTGATTGGTTCATATTGTCCAACAAGTTATCTGACCGCAGGTGTCAGTCCTGTGTTATAGATAATGCTGCCATCTTTCAGAACAGTGTTAAGCATGCTAAATATGAAAGGCTAGGTGTACTTTAAACTACTGAGATTAAGATTTAAGTGAATCACTAACTAGCATTGTTCTGGTTTCAAGTTGAATCTTTGAGACAAGACAATATGGCAGAACGCACAGCATTATGGGATCACTGACATCTATTCTGTTTTTGACAAACAGTGACAGTGACTCTTCAAAAGATCTTAAAATAATATAGTTAGCAACGTCGAGTTTCATTTTTTCACATTCAAAGTTACAAATATATATATATTCTCAACATGTTTGTCCTTCAGTACTTTGATTTATTTTTGATTTTCTATTTTTCAGCTGTCAGTGCCCAGTTGGATTTGATGGAAAGCGTTGTCAGAAGACTCGACACAGTTTTAAGGGTGGTTACGCTTTATACCCTGCCTTGGCTCAGTGTGAATATAGCACCACTAGCATTGAGTTTATTACCACTGTCGAAAATGGTCTTATTTTCTACAATGGACCTGTGGAACAAATTGGGCGAAATGTCCCACGTGATTTTATTGCCCTGGAGCTAGTTAATGGGTATCCACGGTTACAGGTTGATCATGGAACTGGCAAAGTTATGATGCCCCTGGACGGTAAAGACAAAAATCAAATCACACGACTTAAGAAACTCAGCGATGGTGTTTGGCATCACATTGACATTGTCCGTAAAGGAAGGGTAAGTCGTAGGCAGAGTGAGCTCTAATTGATAGGAATTTTTGGAAATGCTTCATTTTTGATAATTTTTTTCTTAACCATATCTGATTCTGTTCAGAAGTTTGTTGGTTTTTACTTGTAGTAGAATGATATTGTCAGGATTTAAGTTGTCAAAACATAGAGTTTGACACACGACCAGTCATAAGAATACATCCCCAAGACTGAACTGTCAGTTTCATGTTGGAAGATATTCATCTCATCCATGCTGAAGTTCATGAATGGCGCCAACTTTCTACATGTTACAAGACATAATACACTTTACATTTAAATTAGCAAAACATCTGTATTATGGCTTGCTGGTTGTCCAGTTTCTATTAAATCTTATCGTCATAGCTACCGTGTTGTTCCATAGAAATTTTATGATAACCATTGTATATTACTTACAGATGGTCACCATGACAGTGGACCAGTGTCGTTCGTCTGTTTTTGAGCGTGGTAGTGAGTCGAAGGAGGATCGGCAGCCATGTGAGATCACAGGCAGCACTCGCGGGCGTAACAAGTACCTGAATGTAAACACCATGTTACAGATGGGTGGTCGCTATGTCACACCACCATATCCCACTGGAATAACCAATCAGAGCTTCTTTGGGTGTATCAGGAATTTATACCACAATGGGGAGGTACGTTGACAAAACCATGGGGGCAAAAGGTCAATCAGTCCAATTCAGTTACATTCTTAGCTCATCTGTCCATCTGTTAACTTTCCTTCAAATTGCTATTAGTTATGAATGACTGTGTATATTTAAACAAAATTGGTCGGCAGCATTTTTGAGGAAGGGGAATTATTTTTGTGTAAGTGATGGATCATGGCCCCATAGGATTAGAGGGGTGGGACCCAATAGAGGAAAGGAGGCAAAGTCTTTCAAATCCTCCCTCTATGAAATGTCAGCATTTTGTCTAAATTAGATCAGAAGCATTTTTAGGTAAAGAGGACTCAATTTTGTATAAATGAAGGGTTAGACCCTTTGGGCCTTCTAGGCAGTGTCAATTAGGTATGACAGGGAAATAGGTGGGAAGTCTTTTTCTGTTGAAAGGAAATTTTTTCTGAAGCATCATGGAATTGAGGGGATACAATTGTGTGTAAATCAATGGTCTGACTCCCCTGGAGAAATATTTAAAATTATTCCACTTCTACTAAGGTCAAACACTTGCGACCCATGTGAGGAATACAGGCCCAATGGGCTTCTTGTTAATTTCAAATTTCTGACAGAATTCCTAGCTATCTTTTTAATGGTCAAAATATGGAGGCTGTAGCTTTGGTCAAATTTTTCATTTCATTCCAAATCCAACGAAATGAGAGCAGAGCATAATGTTTTCAAACGTAACCTTTTTTTTTATCTGAAATGAGGTGAAATTTCCTGGACTCTTTCAGACTTGAGTAGTTTTTTTGTTCTAAGTGACTTATTAATTCAGTGATCAAAGGCACTTGGTTCCTTTGGAATACCCATTAAAGCCACAAACTTTGATAGTCAAAGTAGGTGCCACATATCAGTTGATAGTACCTTGGCTTGTTGACTGAAAGACCAGTTTCACTGTCATAGGTTCACTTCCCCAAACAATTAACTGATGTGGTTTAGTGCCAATTGTCTGTGTTGTAGTATTCAAGTGGTAAGGCACAACATTCAAAGTGAGCTATTTATAAATTGAGATACATGTAGATAATTAACAGAACACCTATACAACTTTTGGTTTTGAAGTTAAGCACATTGTAAGATGGAATTGTGTAAGGTTGATTTCTCGTTAAGGTACAGTGTTTAACAGATGTTCTGTAAAAACAAAATAACACAGATCTAGCAAGCACATCATCCTCAAACAGAATTCATAGTTTGTTATATTGTTTACAGCTTTATGACTTATACACAAGCCGAAACCACCCCGGTCTGAACCATGAAAATGACTGCCCTCAGGAAGACCGCCATTGTGAGGATGAGAGGAGGAGAGGTGTTTGTGGTCCTCACGGAACGTGTGAACTTGTCCACTGGAATAGTAACGACTTTAAATGTCACTGTAAACCAGGCTACCGACCAAAGTACAAAGGATCCAACAAGTGTGACACAAGTAGGTAGCAAGTGTGACACAGTTAGATCGCAAGTGTGACACAAGTAGGTCGCAATAGTGACAAAAGAAGGTAGCAAGTGTGACACAAGTAGGTAGCAAGTGTAACACAAGAAGGTAGCAAGTGTGACACAAGTAGGTCGCAATAGTGACAAAAGAAGGTAGCAAGTGTGACACAAGTAGGTAGCAAGTGTGACACAAGAAGGTAGCAAGTGTAACACAAGAAGGTAGCAAGTGTGACACAAGTAGGTCGCAATAGTGACAAAAGAAGGTAGCAAGCATGACACAAGAAGGTAGCAAGTGTAACACAAGAAGGTAGCAAGTGTGACACAAGAAGGTAGCAAGTGTAACACAAGAAGGTAGCAAGTGTGACACAAGAAGGTAGCAAGTGTGACACAAGAAGGTAGCAAGTGTGACACAAGAAGGTAGTAAGTGTGACACAAGAAGGTAGCAAGTGTGACACAAGAAGGTAGCAAGTGTGACACAAGAAGGTAGCAAGCATGACAAATCCTGATTATGAATTACGATCAGTGGAACAGTTTGTGATCAAGAGAATGCCACTTTTGTAGTTTAAAAAGCTTTCACCTGTTACATTTTGACTTCAAGGACATCTCAAGTTTTATTTGTCAGGGATGTTATGGTTCAAGCCATACACAAAGCATATATTTTACTGTTAGATAAAAAACATGGTCTGTACATTCTGTGGTTGGTTGTGTACTATGTTGTGTACATTCTGTGGTATATTGTGTGCATTCTTTGGTATATTGTGTACATTCTGTGGTATGTTGTGTACATTCTGTGGTTGGTTGTGTACATTCTGTGGTATGTTTTGTACATTCTGTGGTTGGTTGTGTACATTCTGTGGTATGTTGTGTACATTCTGTGGTATGTTCTGTGGTATGTTGTGTACATTCTGTGGTATGTCGTGTACATTCTGTGGTATGTTGTGTACATTCTGTGGTATGTTGTGTACATTCTGTGGTATGTTGTGTACATTCTGTGGTTGGTTGTGTACATTCTGTGGTATGTTGTGTGGTATGTTGTGTATATTCTGTGGTATGTTGTGTACATTCTGTGGTATGTTGTGTACATTCTGTGGTATGTGTGTACATTCTGTGGTATGTTGTGTACATTCTGTGGTATGTTGTGTGGTATGTTGTGTATATTCTGTGGTTGGTTGTGTACATTCTGTGGTATGTTGTGTGTACATTCTGTGGTATATTTTGTAGATACAACAGTTCGTGACTTAAAGGACCATGGCTTCATGTCTTGGATTCTAAAAAATGAAATGTACAACACTCTGCAAGAGATGACAATCTCCGTCCAGATGAGTTTCCGCACACGTGATGCTGATGGCGGAATTCTGCTCCACCTCCCCTCGACATCCAAAGAGTATATTACACTAGAGGTACAGAATTTACAGAAATCCGTAGCTGTCTTAACCGTCTTTAAAAGCTACATAGACGCAGAACGTATCATGTATGGAGGAAAATAAATCAGCTTTTCTGAAATAAACAGTCTTGATTCAGGACTTCTAATAATGATTAATTACTATCATAAGTAAGAAGGATATGATATAAGGAATTCTGAGAAAGTTGTTTAATTTTACCACGGCGAGCCATCGTCTGTCAACTTTTATTATATATTGCAACTGAAGCATCCTTGGGGAAACGGGAACAGAGTTTGTATAAATGGTGGGTCTGCTGCCCCCCCCCCCCATTGCTTAGCATCAGGAGATGAACAGCATTTCTGGACATCAAGACATTAACTGATTTCTGTCCCTACCCCTAGGGAATTTGAAGCTGTATCTTTAGGGTGAAGCTCATCATGGGAAATATTTTACTTCTAAAGAATTAAGTTTTGCGTTATTGACTTAATACAATTGAGCAATACAGGCTCTTTTGTCCTCTTATTACAAATCACACCCTGGAAAGGATTTAAAAAAGAAGAGATATAAGTGTTTGTGCAGGCACTATTTAGAATGATGCTGCATTGATTGTTAGGTAAACCTTATTGGCTTTAGGCCTTTTGTTAAAATTTCCATGACAACTATTTCAGATTGTCAACAATCACCTGCAAGTGACCTACAACCTAAAGGACCATGATGCACCACTAATGCCAAACATCCTCTCTCTATCGTCTGTCCGTGCCAACAATGGACAGTGGCACCACGTTAGATTCACTCGTACTGGCAAGTGGTTCCAGTTGAAGATGGATGGAGGGGAGGGTCGTTACTACAATGAGACCTGGGGCAAACAGGGAGAAAGTCAGGCCTTCAGTCTGCGGACTGATCAAATTGTGGCTGGAGCGCGTGTCGTGTTTGATGCCACTCCAACTTTCGATAAGCGTGGTCTAAAAGACAGTAAGTGTAGACGTAATGGTCATGTGTTATTAAATTGGAAGAAGGGAGGTAATTATCTTATTTGTATAAAGAGCTTTAACTTTGGGTAGTTGGTCTTTCTTGGTGTTGTGATGACTTAAAGTTTATAATGCTTACTCTTTTGATTTACGGTAGTTTATTTATTGCTGCAGTGATGAGAGCAACAGTGCTGTTTTGTCGTTCTTGTACCATAATACAAAAATTTGCCTCATGATCTGAGGATTATAAAAAACAGATTTTTGCCCCATTTTGAATTCACCCTGACCATTATACTAAATTGGGAAAATTTCTCGATATGTAGTAAATGCATGTCATTTAAACTGTCGTCATTCTACTCCAGCTTGTATTACGGACATTCGCATAGATGATAAATGGTTCCCCATGCGTGTAGAGGAGAATCTTCACAGTCCAGCCGCAGATCTGTCCCTTTATCCTAATGTCCAGATGAACTGTGTCCGTGACGACGACTGTGCCGGCCACTTGTGTTCAAGTGGTATTCCCATCAGTAAGGAGTGTGTGCCACTGTGGGGTGACCGCGACTGTAGGTAAGTCATTAAAGGGAGATGACTCTGACTGTAAATAAGGAGTTTCACTGTGAGGGTGACAGCAGGTGTGTGTGTATCACGCTCTCTAGCCAGTCCTGTCCACCGATCTCAAGGCCTGTGTTGATGTCTGCAAGAATTTATACCTGAAGTGTTGCATCTTAAAAAAAGTTAAACTGGTTTGTCCCCATAGACAACAGGCCTAAAGACTACAAGTGTGTTATTTAAGGAAATGACTACAAAAGATTGCCATGTCATGTTGTAGATTGTGAATGATGTTACTGAGGGAGGTAGCTTCATCAGTAGGAATCCCTTACTTTTCTTATTTGTTGGAGATTCAGACCCAGTCTCATGATCATCGAGTCATTTGAGTGAACAGACTAAGTTTAGTGGTTAAGATATCATTATGATAGGATTAATGGAAATTTCTATATTGCTTCTGTGTTTCTACAGGTGTCCAGCTGGAAGTGAGCCTGGGACAGCGGAGAATTGTATTCCTATTTACTACTGTAACCCCAACCCTTGTTACTCAGGCGGAACTTGTATAGAGCTCGACTACCCAGATACTTTCATGTGTAACTGTCCTGCAGGATGGACCGGCTTGCTATGTAACCAACAGGCTCAGTCGGAGGTCATCCCAGCCGGGGTCACCACTGAGGCTCTTGTCATTATCATTGTCAGCATCTTCACTGTCGCATGTAAGTATGATACAAATATATATAGTGTCACGATATATAATTAAAACACCCAGAATGTGATTTATAAGCCCAAGTGATACCTGTCAGAAGGATTGGAAATATTCATTAACAAAATCCTTAAATTAGATAAGAAATTCACTCAAGAGATCACAATGGAAGAGACTACCTGTGTTAATGAACATTCCAGAGAACACAATAGTCAATGAGTAGGCAGTGTTCAAGACTTATTAATGTTTTCTATTGTGATCTTAACTCTGTTAAAAGATGGACTTTCATAGTGTCATATTCCATTTTGAAGTAGTTGGTTGAGAATAACTTCCTTACCTTTCTGTTGTGTATCATCAGATTTAAGCAGGAGAAATATCAGTGAAGGGGATCCCTACTCAACAGTTGCCATTGTCTGCTGAAACTGCTATTTAATTGTTATTCTGATTTTTAGTTTTTCTGAACAGTTTGTTCATCAGTGTAGATAATTCTGTTGAACAGTTTGTTCATCAGTATAGATAATTCTGTACAATATCCTACATGACAGCTTATCATCACTCGGACATTGAACTTTGATACACAGTCATTTGATACAAGATTATCTCCCTTATGATGAACTGGGACATTGAACTTTGATACACAGTCATTTGATACAAGATTATCTCCTTTATGATGAACTGGGACATTGAACTTTGATACACAGTCATTTGATACAAGATTATCTCCCTTATGATGAACTGGGACATTGAACTTTGATACACAGTCATTTGATACAAGATTATCTCCCTTATGATGAACTTGGACATTGAACTTTGATACACAGTCATTTGATACTAGATTATCTCCCTTATGTTGTAAATTTCATCCCTACAGATTTAACTTGATGGTGAAGATATTGATAACACAATATATAGATACTAAAGTGTTGTATGGTTGTTTGTTACAGTAATTGTGATGCTGGTTTTCCTGTTGGTTTGGAACCTGACCAAGCATGACAAAGAGAAATCCATCTTGTATGACGACCAATACGATGACATCCGTGAGAATGTTATGGACCACGACGAAGAAGGAGCAGGTCAGTCATCCATTACATTCATTGTCGTTAACTCTAATTGGTATTATATGATACTTACCTATGTAAAATGGAAAACAAACAAGACAACAGACAGAAAAAGTCATCTGCTTCAAAGTCACTATTCCTTCATGTATTATCCTTGCGCCAACAAAGGTGGCCAAGGAGAAACAAACAGGTTCTGTCTGTCAATCCATGACATTTCTGGAGCAGTGCAGGACAACTCGATGAAATTTGGTACAACTGTCAATTAAGTGGTATAGTAGTGCCTTTTGCTATGGAGCAGTTTTCAGTTTTGATGTTTCTTTGGTTATGATAGAAACAGTAAGATTTTCTTCTGTAGATACTGCTGACAGGCAGCCATCTTGTATTTTAACTTTGAAAGTTTGTTATTGCTATTTCTTGAGAAGTGCCCAACAGATCTTTCTTAAATTTTATATGTAGGTTCTTCTTGGTTCCTAGTTGTGACAATTTGATTTTGGGACTGATCAGAAAAACAAAATGGCCAACAGACGGACATCTTAGATTTTGACTTCGAAAGTTTGTTATCACTATTTCTTGAGAACTACTGTATAGATCTTTCTCAAATTTTATGTTTAGGATTTTTTAGGTCCCTAGTTGTGCCAATTTGAGTTTGGGACTGATCAGAAAAACAAAATGGCTGACAGGCAGCCATCTTAGATTTTGCTAAGCACAGGTTGTAATTGCTATTTCTGAAGAAATACTGAATGGATATCTCTCAAATTTCATATATATGTTCTCTTTGATCTCGCCTCGTACTGGTTTGCTCTTGGGACTGATCAGAGGAAACTGAATGGCTTCCAGGCTGCCATTTTAGAAAAAGGGAAAAGATCCAACATTCAAAGAGCAAATAAAGATTAAACAATGGTAGCTCCAAGATCCCTCTCGGATCTCTTGTGTCATATTCAGGGGCTAGTTATGTCCACTTCTGTCACAGATAAAAAACACATGCTGATCATTTCATGAATCATGGGTATAAATGAGTCTTGTAGCTCTGAGCTCAGTAGGAATCGGCTCATTATAACAACAGATCCTTGTTGGTTTACTAAGTATGAACTTTGACCCCCAGGTGAAGAGGATCAGGATGGCTATGATATATCTCGCCTACGTAAGCCAGACCAGCCCTTCCTTTTACCTCCCCAGGGGCGGCCGGATAAAGGTTTGTATAGTAGGTGTTGGTTTATTTCTTCTTTTATCTTCTTACTCATTGTAGTAGACGTTCTAAACTTTTTTGATATACCTGTAACTTCATGAGAAAACATATATTTCTAAATTGCAACAAGGAAAACAAAGCTGAAATTTAATTACCAGTTATTGCAACAAGGAAAACAAAGCTGAAATTTAATTTCCGTTCAGAAGAATTTAAATCCTTATCTGAAAATTTAAAACGTGCTATCAGAAAATAGTGAATATATATCTGTTTCTGTTTTCAGTGCGTCCTGGTGAGACTCCAGATGTGGGAAGTTTTATAGAAGACCGTCTGATTGATGCGGACAATGATTCAAGTGCCCCTCCTCACGACAATGTTATGGAGTTTGCATATGAGGGTGGAGACAGTGATCTAGGGTCATTGAGTTCACTCCACACCAGTTCCAGTGGTGGGGACCAGGATTACGAGTACCTAGACGACTGGGGACCAAAGTTTTCTAAATTAGCAGATATGTACCAATCTGTTCCAACAGAGGAAAGTTTTTGACCCCAGCCATCATAGATTTCATTCTATCATGTTCCCACGGAGACATGATTCATTTAAGTTGCTGTTATACTGATATACTACCATTACAGGATTAAAGGAGTCTTCTACAGTTTATCGACAATCCTGGTTAAACAGCATGACATATCAACGCCATGTTGAGATTCATGTGAAATGTGACATTGGGCGACATCTAACCACCGTGATTAGTACATGGAACTACGATCGACATCAACACCACGATCGTCTGTTTCTGTTAGGATAATACTACCTGTAAAGATCAGATGCATTTCCTTCTTGAGTGGAGGACGTAAAATTTGAGCTGTTCTCTTTCGTGACATTGGTGATAATTACAGAAAAAAACAAAGATGTTTGTATATGAAATATATCAAATAAGTAAAAGACAGGACAGCACACAAATCTTTTCTTGTCAGGGACTCAACTGTCTAAGAGAAAGGTATCCTGCAACAGCTCTCAATGTATATGTGTGAATGTGGGTTTATACACACATTTTACCCGTGCACATATGTTGTAACATAACCATTCTAATGGTTTTATGTTGTCAGCAGGAAATGGACAGTGTGCTAAGCATGAGTTGTGCTACAGTAAAGTATTTAACCTAACTATGTGCTGCAGTTACAGAATGTGTTAACAATTTTATCTGCTGTTCTTACGTTTTTACCAAGAGTGTGGATGTGGAGCAGCATAAAGTCAAAGGGAGATAACTCATTATTTTGATTGCACACTGCTCATCTAAAAATTAAAAAAGACTTTATATTATATGTGTGTAGTTAAGCGACATGTGCTCAAAGCTACAGTCACGAAGATTTACAACAAATTTTGATTCTTTTTATGTGAATTTCCCCCAGAATGCATATATTCGACGAGACTGTTTACGTGGTGGACAAAGTCCACATGTACTCTTATAGGGGGGAATATTTCCAGGAAATGTTGCTCATATTCCTGTAAAAACAAAGGTTGTGCAAAAAAATCAATATAAATCAAAATGGTGATTTCCAAGAATGATTTGAGGAATTCGTCAGATTTTTCCAGTCGATGACTTTCTTGAAATTTTAGTACATGAGGAGGTATTGATTGTTATGTGATGTGTTGAGAAATCATTGTAAAACTTTCTGAAGTGAAATGTTTGACCCATTCCTACAAGTGTAATGAAAGATTGTAAATAGATTATTTATACTGTGTTTAGAAATGAACACATGCCAACAGGAAAGTGGGAGTTCAAGTGAGAGATAGTTATTACCAGTAGTCAGTGTTAAGTGCTGATTGATATTTTCCCTCATATCAAAACATGAAATAGATCTATAAGATTTTCAATTTGGAATATGTTTCATAGTAGTATCTGAAAGTTTATGTCACAGAGTGAGGTTGTGCATGATAGATATGAAAAAAACAGTAGAAAGTTTATATGAGAGAAAGTTTGTGTAAAAAGAAGAAAATTTGATGAAATACAGAGAGTTTATTGTATTTCTCTGTTTAATTGATTGTGTGAGATGTGAGAACGACAAATAATGTATAAAAAAGATTATAGAAGTTGTGTGATTAAGTATACAGATGGACCAAACCATGTGCCCAGAGAAATGACAGATATATTATATTTAGTAAGTTTTTCATATATTGAGTATGGTAAATTTGGTGCATCGTGTAGTCATACTTGAATTTTTTTCTAAGGAGAATTTTCAAACTAACACCATTTGCAAATGTTAAGTATGACCTGTTGTACACTGACCAATTACATCTTACAAGTAATCGTAACCATTAGCTTAATTGATGCTGAAATTCTAATAATACAGCTTTTAAAAATAGAAATATTCGAGGCAATTGATGTTTAAACGTCATCATATCAGAAGTCTTCTGAGATCATGCATTTTCTTTTGAATAATTTTTGACTGAAATCTGAAACCACATGCTTTCAAATTTACCAACATGTATTAGCACAAGGCATCCTCGTATTTTCTATAATTTTTCAATCTTATAAGATATCTATAGATATTTTCTTCATTTTCTAAAATCATCTCATTATTAAGTTATTTCCCCAAAAGTGATCAACTTGGCAACAGGATGCACCAATGAATACCATTTAAATATATATATATATATGATTAAGTACATGTATCACTCTAAATAAGTATTCATCATTAAATCATCTAACGCACATATTTTAAGAGATTTTCATCTTGTATCGTTTTCATCATCATGAAATCGCCATACTATCACCAGTTTTTATATTTTGATACATTTTGAGAAGAAGTTTTGTTTTTACAGCAGATCATGTATTTTTCAAGTATTGCCTTTTCATGAAATATATATCATTTGTTTTAACCATCGTGTAGGTTTCAGGAGAAGGACAAAGTGACATGTTCGGCTGATCCTTACCAAATGTATGGACACCATTTTGTGTTTGAATGATGATGTGAGCATGTCGTATCAGTAAAAGTGTAAAGATTAATAACAGTTATCATCATTGACTTAAGCTATCAAACCTTTAATTGCATTGTCAAGCTTTCCTATGTTTTAATTTGACAGCTATGTGTATCTGCTCCTTGTCATTATTGTGCTTGAGAAGATAAGAAGTCATGCAGAGAATGACTGCAATTTGATGGTGTTTTTTTTTTTGTTAAAAATGGACATAAGGAAAAACTTCAAGTTATAAATTTTTAAAGTATAAAACTGACAGAACACAGGGTATTGTATCATTTTATTATCTACAACCACTGTCTCAGAAAAAAGTCATATTGTTCTATCTAGATTTTTTTTATTGATGTAAAGTCAGCTGTAGAAAATATACAAAACGTACAATATTTAACAGAATTGTTTTTTTTCACTTACGCTTCATATATACATGTAAACTAGTGGACAACTGGTGTTGACCGTTGTCCTGTGTATCATTCATTGTTTTGACCATAGCTGATAAGAGTTGTAATCTAGCTGTGCGGTTGTGAAATTGATGTGTGCAATATTAGATGCTTATTCATTTCATCAAATGAGTTGAAACATTTCCCTTCCATTACATATTGTTGTACTGACACAGCTTCTAAAGCTTATGATTATGTTGACATTCAGGTGCTTCGAGATTCTTTTTATTACACCTTTTATGAATTATGCAATTTTTTTGCATCCTTTGCAGTCTTTTGAAATAGGCTATGGATAAAGGCGTGACTCAGTATTTTGAAATAGGCTATAGATAAAGGCATGACACAGTGTTGGTCAGAATCTATAGTAAATGTCATCATTGTTTTTATATCAGAATCCCCTTGCATTGATATCCCCAGACTGAGATGATATTAACAGGAATGTGACAATTAAAGGAAATATTACATTAAAAGGAATTTCACAATATCAAGAACATTGGAGAGGTTAAATGTTTTACTCAAATGTCTGATGACAATTGTTTGGAAAATATATATATATAGACATTTAAATTATAAAGTGAAATCAGTCACAGATTAAAAATATAAAGTTTGATTTAATGAAAAATTCACCCGCTTCAACAGTACTTTCATGTTCGTGTATATAATAATGACACTTTAAATTAAATAAATTCTTGTTTGGAATGCAAGATGAAAAAGCATAATTTTTGTATAAATTTTGATGATACAACACTTGCCATGTTAGAGTTGATATATAGAGAATTGATCTGTATTGTTGATCAATGAAAGTAGAGTAGGATATTACACCTGCTCATGTAGATTTTGTAAAATAGAAGTTATCAGAAACATCAGTTTGGTTATTTTTCGTTGTTAATTCTTTATGGTTGTGAAGTTTGAGCTAGTTAGAATGTAAAAGTCAGTATTGTTATTTGTAGATATGTCGATTAAACCTATTTATAATTATTGATTTTTTTCAAAAAGCAATGTACAGTTCAGTGTTTCTCAGAATAACAAGAGGAAGCAATTTTCATGAAGGTGACATTTTAAAAAACATTTCTTGCATTCCTATTAAGACCTACATCCGATGAATTTGTACCGGTATTTCCTAATTTCATCATGATGTGGTTGGAACTGAAAACTGTCCTGTTATTAAACAAAGTGTGAAATTTACTTCATTTAAGCCACTGATTACTTGCACCAACACAACTACTTAATAGAAAAAAATTGTATGCAAATATAATGGTTGTTTTCTCAGTGCTATAGGTACTGTAGAAATGTATAATGTCTTAGATAGGAAACCACAATTACACTCACACAAGAAGGTTTTTTTTATGGTAACTTTTTGAAAATGTGATCTTTTTAGTTTGAACTAATTTATTTAGGGCAAGCTTTCCTCTTGAAATGATTCATTTTGAATAATAATGAATACACATATGAATGATATAGCTTGACTATTTATTCAACACCATTGTGTACAATGACAACGTCAATTTGTTAAGGTTTTTTATTCTGAGATATTGAGATGGACTGTGAACTGCATTATATATGTATATATAAGGAGATACTAATTATTTATAATGTGGCAAACACTTTCAGTGTCAAAATAAAAATTTTGTTCTTGGCAGTTGTTCCAGATATAAATGCTATAAGTGAAGTCTAATTTCAAATCTGATTTGTGGTTTAAATGTTTTTATGATGAAGATAATTTAAGTGATAAAGAATTAAATCTAAACCAATTTAACCAATTAAGATATATCAGTTGACAGTACATCATCACAAGCTTTTGTTTCTAGTTTAGCTTTTTTCTTAATTTTTGTTTGTTTCAGAAGCACTTAAAACCAAAGTATTGTGCTCTTGCCATGCAGAACGTTGTTATTTTTCATCATGATTTAATTGTCTGTTTCATTGTAATGTTTTTCCTTTTTATAATTTTGTTTTCAATGAAGTAGGCCTTTATGACCCCAGATAATCTAGTCACTGATTGTATCCAGATTTTTACTGTCAATACTGCACTCTTGTCTCACTAGGCCTTTTGTTTTCTTATCAAAGCTTACTTGTTTATTTGTTTACTTTTCCTCCGTTTAAACTTATTAGCAATTATTTTTGTGTAATGAATAATGGGCAAACCTGCAATAAAGAAAAAACTTTTTTTTTTCCAATGTTAATGTCAGACTCGAATGAGTTGTAAATTAAAAAACCCAGATAATTTGATAAGAGACAATACATATAATTTCATTTTTTATTTGGTATTTGAAACATATTTGAATTAAAACATATTTGACTCTACAATTTTCTTATTTAATATTTATATTGACTAGCAAAGTTTTGTATTAAATTATTGATCTGATGAGGAGAATGTAAATTTTTGTTTATATCATTGCTATAACATTATGTACAATTATAGGTAGAATTAATATGGAGAATGTTGTATATTTGACTGTAAAATCTACACAAGGAAAATCAAATAGAATTGACCAACGAAGCTGTGTTTTGATTGTGCGATTTGCTGTCTGTTGTAAACTGTATTTCAGCCTTTGAGAGTTTTGTTCTTGCTCTGGTACACAGAAATCTGTTTTATTCATTTAATGTTGAGCTGATAACAGACCCATAATAACATTCTGTTGTTTACAATATAACTAGACATTATCAATGTTATTTGATTACAAATTTCAGAGTTTCATCCTCAATATTTTCTAACGACTTCTTTGGAAAATCATGAAGTTTGGCCTGTTTATCAGAAGAACCCATTTCAATTACAATACTTGTCCATTTCTCCATATAAAACAAATCGTAAAAAATAATATTCCACTATTCAATGGGAAGACGGCCATATCTATTTTTATGTAGTGGTTTCTGCAAAGTATCAATTTATTTAGGAATGGGCTAAATTCATTAAAATTGTAAACAAAACATAAAAAAATTAAATCTTCTAATACATGGGATCTTTTTGTACTATATGATAAGATGGATTTCTCTGTATTTGATTCGCTGACTGTATCTGTCATTAGCGAGTTTCCGGCAGTTTGCCTATGTGTATTTCTGGTCAGTTTTTTGTGTACAAAGGTTTGGTTGGTGAATTTACTGCATGCATACAGGCATATCAATGATTAACATTATTTATCATGGCTATTTTTGTGCAAGATTACTACTACACAATTCAGATTTCATATTAAGAAAATCTGGTCGCCTGCCCATGATGTTGTGAATAGTCACAAACTTGGTACTGTATACATGTATGTAACATTGAAGAATATCATCAACTTTAATGAGATCTCAAAATCAGATGTTAGCATTTACTGAATTTTGATAATATACATGTCATCATTTTTTTCCCTATTTTATGACATTCCCACTCCTTCAAAAAGAAAGTGTTTGTTAATATGATCAATATATTCATCAGCTTCTCATCATTTGCATTTTTCTGATAAAAACCTTATGAAAAATTTAAAGTTGAAACCAAATTCATTTGAAGAAATTTGAAGTAACCACAAGAAAATGATCCCATTTCTTGTAGTACACATTGTGGGTAGGAGATCAGACGAGCTTCATTCTCACTGCCTTCATCAGGTTTATTAATCATCTTTTTTAAATAAAAAAAATATTGACAAAATACTGTTGATGTGTTGTGTTCTTCTTAACGAAAAGGGAATACCTTTTTTAGGCAGACATGTGTTGATGGAAAATCAAGTTTGCACTATCAAGGGTAGACATGTTTTGCTTCTAAATATATCAAAGTATTTGTCGTACGGACGACACAGACGACAAACAGATTTAAACTGTGATTGATGTAAATGCTGGATATACTGTAAATGTTATCAACAATAAAGAGTTCAAACATCGGTAAATGTTACCAAGATAAATTGAAACTGTGTACTTGGAGCTGAATATTTGGGATATGTATAATATATCCCTTATATCACAAAGCTTAAATATTCATTTATCAGCATGTGTTTTGACCGTTGAGATGTGTAGATGATGGCGATGAAAAATAGTTGAACCAATAGGTTGATAACAGTAAACTTTATGGAACTTTCACGAAAATGGGTTGTCCACAATCTATGAATGTGTGGTATGTTCCTGAAGTGTTAACATGGGGACATTGTAATGCATTTTCAGAGTCACCTGGCTTGATGATTCTATGGATACAACATCAGGATGCTTCACTGTAGTTTGGAGGGATTCATATTAAAGTCATATTTAGTTATGTTTTAAAAATGTTATATAACATCAATCTTACCCACTTATCGAAAATATACAGCTTAAATCAGCATTCGATATTGTTTTACGTCATCAAAAATGTTGAAAACTACACCTGGTTCAGGAAAAGCAATAAACTCTTAGAAATAACAAGATATTTCCCTATTTCTACTTTCTCGTGCAAGTCTCCTCTCTCCTTTACCTCCAATCGTCGTTGTTTGAAGGAACCCGTAAGTTCTAGTAGATTGTTGACATTCAGCGATCTATATATACACTCTTACATTAAAAATACAACCATCTCCACCTGTCTACTTCAGCTTTGGAGAACGAAAGTTGAACAGATTCGTATGAAACTAAGGCACAAAAGGAGTAACCTTAGGTATGACCTTTTCCTGGAAAATCTTCTCGAAGAATCCAGTTTGCAACTGTCTACCCTCTTGTTAGTATGCATTTCACTTTTTCAGCGGTGAAAAGGGTATTATTCTTCCACCTTTTAAACCCTTAGGCATTCTAGGGAGGCGAAATGGTGTTCATTTCGAAAAAGAGAGAGTCCCTTTCAATCAAATCCCTATTTTACATTTTTTTGCAATAAGAGATGTCATCATCTTTGCTTAATTTGTGATCGCCCTATATGAGTAAATCTAATTAAATTCTCAAACAGAGGTTGCAACTGGCTTATAAATAGATTTCGATTATGAATGTAATAGGGGCAAACACAAAAATAGTAATGAAAGTCTTCACATGGGTTGCTGCATCTACATTCAGCTGTATTACGACAGATAACCTGTTTTACACTGTAAGATGACGCATGCAGTATTTGTTTCACATTTTCCATGAATAATTTCTAATCGTTACAAAAGCTCATCTTGGAATCAAACAATGATTACTAGTTAGTCATATATCGGTCAATGAAAAATAAACAAGTTCGTTGTAACATTTTACTACGTTGCGATGATAAAACCTTGAAAAAAGTGAAAAGGTAAAAAAGGTAACTCCGCTTTTCTCAATATTCCAATCACCAGCAAATTATAATCGAATTCATCTAGTCGATTATTTACATAATAAGTAGATCTTGATCAAGCGTAAATCGAAAATATCGGGAAAATCCAATTTGCATATTTAAATAACTCATTTAAATATGTTGTCAAATTTGGACATAGTGACGTTTAAAGGACCCCCTTTTTAAAGCACAGACACGCCCACCATGATCCCTTTAGTGCATTTCTTATATTGGTGTCATGACGTCGACTATGTGGTTTTAGAGTCATTTGCATAGATGGTGCTGTTTCACTTAAAATTCAATGCAACGAATAAAATCAACCTGTTAGGAGGTATTCATGTTTAAAATAACAAACTACGTAGCAATATTTTCGCGAAAATACTGAAATATGGTGAGATTTTGAAGCTATTATGCTCTGGTGTTGCGGGTCTCTTTCACTTACGTTCTATATACGTTACTTATCCCGTGATACCTAATGATAGCATTTAAAAATAATGAAATAAAATCAATTAAACGGAGGTGAAGACCGAAATTCATTACCACAATTTACAAAATGCAATGCCCGACATTAGTTCACTGTCTGATTTCATTGGTATTCTGAAATGAGTGCATTTGAAATGAATAGTTTTGAAACACCGCGATTAAGATTTGTCCTGTTGTATACATACAGAATACAAGAGCGTGAGATTTTCCTGTCAAGCATGGGTTGTCACATGAACAAAGCTCCCTGAAAGAGTGCTCCGCGTGCGCCCATTCCTAATCGCTTCTATAAAAGCGGTCGTGTCATGTGCGGTACGGTATACTGAGATTTTGTACACTTTTAGGGTTTCTTGTGAGCACACGTTAACCGTGTTTGTATTTATGAATGAATTTCGCATATGCGAAAGAGATACGTTGACGTTTTATAGATTTAAGACCTTCATAAGAATTGAAAGCTCTGTGTTAACATTGGATTTTACATCTCAAACAATCAATGATTGTATTTGTTTCATATTCCAATGGTTCTCGCATAAAACCTCATTGAAAAACAACAGGCGATCGCCAATCCATTAATAAATATATATATATTAAAAAAAATATTCCAAAGATTCGTTGCAGAAGAGAAAACAACGAGACAGTTTTGATAGAAGTACATCTACCGAAAACCAGACCGATGCTCGTTAAATTCTGACACTTCACGGATAACTTTGAATTCATTCTTTCCAGAATCATCGTATCCAAACTACTTTAAGGCTTTCCTCATTAATTTTTTTTTCAAAAGTGAAATCCACATGAAAACGAATATAACCTCAAACTTCTTTCTTAGGAAATTTCCAGTCTCAATATTGAATTAATGAATTAAACATATTTTATTGCAAAAATTATGACAACAGGATTAGGTACAAGTTATTACAACTTATGAAACACCTTTTCCCCCAATATATAACAAATTATAGTTAGGCAATGCAATAGCCATATGGCAACAAATACACTAACTACATATTTTGCGGGGAGGGAGGGAGAGAGAGAGAGAGAGAGAGAGAGAGAGAGAGAGAGAGAGAGAGAGGGGGGTAGTTTAGGCGGATGACGTCAAGTGAACCTATTACTAGATTTGATAAAGTTTGGACATTCAAAAACATTTTCGAGTTTGTTTCAAAAGAAAAGTCATTATCACCATACAATATCGATTCTAAATCACAATGTATGGGTAAATTTAAATCATCTAAATGTTGAAAAAGAACATTTCTTTATAAATTATAATGACAACACATAAAGAAAAAATGATAAGAATTTTCACACAAATGTCCACAAGAACAACTGGGGGTATCCACAAGGTTTATCCTGAATAGATCATGATTTAAAGAACTGCATTGGTGTCCAAGTTTCGTAAGTATGATATTTAATGTACGGTCACCTATCCCAAAATGAGAAGGTGGAGAAATGTGATCGATAGGTTTTAGAGACTTTTAAAAACACTTAATGAGGATGACGACCTGATTGAGTTATCCAGATTATTCCAACAACGCATAGTAGACGGCAAGAAAGAAGAATTAGTTGTAGAAAGACGGAAAAAGGGAATTCTATCATTATTACTATTTCTCAAAGAATATTGAGCTTGATCTTGTACAGTAGAGGAAAGTAACGAGGAAAGGTATTCAGGTGTTTGGTTAGTATGCATTTTGTAGAAGAGTTGAAGTTTTCTTCTTTTCCTTCTAGAAGACAAAGTTTCTAAACCCGTTTCAAAATTCAAAGCATGAATACTAGCATAAGAAGGAAGGCCTGTAATAATTCTAGCTGCTTCACGTTGGGCTTTTTCTAATTTTTCAGATTCCAAATTTGAACAACCATCCCACAATTCGCAAGCGTATTCTAGAATGGGTAATATAAAAGCACGATAAATTCTTAAAACCGCATCCCGTTTTAATACAAATTTCAATTTTCTCAAAACATTTATTTTTTCATAACTGATGAGTAAATCACTTCAATGTGATCCCCCAATTTAATACTTGAGTTGAGAATAACACCTAGATGTCTGTGACTATCAGTGAAATCTAAAATATTTCCATAAAATTCTAATTCTAATAAACCTTCTATTTCATTATTATTAGAGATGAAAAGTACATCCGTTTTGTCAGGATTAAAAGTTACAAGCCATGTTTTAGCCCATGAATTAAGAGATTCAAGGTCTTTGTTAAGGATAGTTTGAATTTCTTGATAGGAGGAAGAAGAACATTGGAGAGAAGTGTCATCTGCGAAAAGTCTTGAAGCTGAATCAAATACATCTGCTATATCATTAATATAAATCAGAAATAAAAGAGGGCCAAGAATAGAACCCTGTGGAACCCCAGCATCTATAAAACCTAATTTAGAAAAAGACCCATTAACACATACTTTTTGATGTCTCTGATGTAAATAGTCCTTCAACCAAGCCAATAGCTCTCCGTCTATTCCATAGGATTTTAACTTAATAAACAAACCTTTATGCCGAACTCTATCAAAAGCTTTTGAGATGTCACAAAAGACGATACATGTATGTTTTTTTCTTCGAGTGCTAGACATATATTATGATACATTTCAATCAGTTGATATAAAGTAGAATGTTCGGGCAAGAAACCAGACTGATATTGATAAAACAACGAATTTTCTATGAAATAATTATAGATATGATTGAAAACTACACGTTCGAAAACTTTGCCAACAGTAGACAGTAGAGATATTGGCCTGTAGTTAGAAGGAGAGTGTCTATCACCCTTTTTAAATAACGGCATAACTTTAGCTAATTTCCATACTTTGGGATAAACACCAACAGAGAGTGACATATTAAATAGTAACTCAAGTGGTTTACAAACATTTCATCCTGGCCCGAGGCCTTTCCAAGTTTCAGTATTTGCAACACATCTTTTATTTCCATATAATTTACTCTAATAAAATTCAATGTTTTATTGATTTTTGGAGCAATCTCTGGAACTTGGGCGTCACAAGCATCAATACTAGTTATACTGCAAAAATAGTCATTAAGTAGATCAGCTTTATCTACATCACTAGTAATTACAGTACCAGTAAAAGGGTCTACCAGAATTGGTATGTCATTAGATGTACCACAAGAATTGATTAAGCGTTTGATTAATCTCCAGTAAGCTTTGGGGCCAGTAGATAAGTAATTATCAATAAAGCCATGGACATAAAACTCTAGCCTGCAATACTTTTTCATATTATTGACTTTGTTACGTTGTGTTTTAAACTTTTGGATAGCCGAAGAAGATTTCGATTTTCTAACTGCTTTGTGTAACCTATCACGAAGTCGTATGTGTTTCCTTAGCTCAGAAGTCATCCATGGCTTATCATTTGGTCGTATGGTTACAACTTTTGTGGGTATACAAAGTTCCACAAATTTAATAAAAACTTTAGTAAAAGTTTCACAAGCAATATCTACTGATGCACAAGTTGAAAAAGTTTCATTCCAATCATATTGACATAAGCTCATTGAGCTTATTGTAATCTGCTCTCTTATATAACCAGACTTTGCGTGTGTAGACAGGTTTAAAAGAACTAGGAAGTTTAACGCTAACAGTACAACCTTCATGATCACTTACTGACATATCTATATTTATAACAAAAGATTCTATACAGAATACAGAATCACTTAGAAGAAGAGGATCAAGTAAACTTGATCTAGTCGGACCTACACGAGTAGGTTCCGATATTACATTTTTAAGACCAAAGGAATTTAAAATATCTGAAAAAACATGGGTTGGAGCAACAGTAATTAAATCGACATTAAAATCACCAGTAAGTATAACGTTAGCTGTTATGTCAAAAGCATAATGTATTGAAGAACGCAAATTTTCCCAAAATGGTTGAACTAAATTTTCAGGTCTATATATGGTTCCTTCAATAAAATTTGTATTGTTTAGGGAAATTTTTAACCAAACAGTTTCATCGCCATAATATTCTAATTTTAACAAATTATTGACATAAACAATTACACCACCACCTGCAAAATTTCTATCCCGTCTAAAAGGAGAATGAAATCCCTGAATCAATAACTCATCAGTACATACTTGGTCATCTAAATGACTTTCAGTCAGACATAAAACATCAAACTCTCCTGCTATGTCCTCGAAAACATTCAACTTTTTTCTAATACTTCGTATATTAAGATGAAATACTGAAAGTTCACCAGACTCAGGGCCAGGATTAGATTCAACATCCGTACAAATTAATAACAGCAGCAGAAGAGTTACAGAAAAATCAACATTTAGAAAGTAAGAACGCATAAAAACACAAAGCAAGTTCATTAAGTTTTTCAGGTTATCATATTTGAGTATTTGGTAAGTATAGAAGGATTTATACTTAAATATACTTGTACGAACATTAAAGTTTGGGCCATGACACACACTGTTATCACAGACCAAAATAAATTTGAGAGCTAAAATGAACACAATAGTGCTTTGCTTAACTAAGGCTTGCATAAAACTAAGATAAGCGAATAGTATGCACGAAAAAACGGCTGTCTTAAACAAGTTATAAAAGGAATCCGACTTGTCGACAAAATACAGTCTTTTACCCATAAGACATGTTTTACAATAAAAGGTACCAATGGCACACCTCCACACATCAGTACAACAACCCATCAAGGATGATAAAATACAAAATAGGAAAACATTGCATGGTGGCCAGAGGTATATATACGCTTATTGTAATATGACGTCATCAAAGTAGAGAAACTCGAGAACGAAGGATAAGTACCTGAAAGAGAATAGGTATTGGAAACTAGAGAAAAGTCAAGATATAAAGAGCAGGAAGAGGATAAAAAATAAATGAAAGATAACATAGAATCCCTACTTATATATAGCAGAGCAGTAAAGTAAAGAAAGAGGGCAGATGGTGGGCGAAACAAATTCGGTGTATGTCTAAATATTATATACATGTATGTAAACAAAAAGGGCATAAAATGGGACAACAAGTCAAAGACTACTTATGAAAATGGTTTCAATAACGACAGAGTAGTAGGTATGAGTAAATATACAGGTTGATTAAACAAAAAAGACTATTCACAAGGTATCACTAAATTGTAAATACACTGTTTATAAATCCAAATAATGAGGTAGGATACACTGGTAGTGAGTACTGAAATACAGTAGGTATCCCTAGATACACTGGTAATGAAACGGAAACAAGGTAGGTATCACTAGATACACTGGTAATTAAACGGCAACACGGTAGGTGTTACTAAATACACTGGTAGTGAAAAAGTAAGTATCACCTGTAATGAAAACGGAATTACAGTAGGTATCATTAAATACATTAGTAGTGAAACGGGATTACAGTATGTATAATTAAATCCCCTGGTAATGAAAACTGGATCACAGTAGGTATCACTAGATACACTGGTAGTGAAAACACAAACACGGTAAGTATCACTAAATACACTAGTAGTGAAAAAGTAAAAATCACCGGTAATGAAAACGGAATTACAGTATAAATCATTAAATCCCCTGGTAATGAAAAAAGAATTACAGTAGGTATCATTAAAAACACTTGTAGTGAAAAACGGAAATACCGTAGGTATCACTAAATACTCTGGTAATGAAACGAAACCCGGTAGGTATCCCTAGATACACTGGTAACTAAACGGAAACACGGTAGGTATCACTAAATATATATTACTGAACAGTCTAGATTCTGTTACAGTTCGGATTCTTAAAGATGCTGCAACAGTCATTTTCGTTTTATTTCACAACGACATTATTGAAGAAAACAAAAACAAAAACAAAAACAAAAAAACGTTGTGCATTTGGAAACAAAGTAAAGACTAGATAAGCATGATATGGAAAAGGAAAGAATATTCTTTTTTATCCTAAAAGAAAACTTATGAAGAAAAAATATACCAGCTGTTTCTTTTTCTATATCTTACCATGGTCATCTAATTAAGCCTCAGGTACATGTATGTAAAAAGGTTTTGTCTGGAGAACAAATTGTTCACGATATCAAAAAACGTAAACCAGAGAATGAACTTTCTATACAGAAATATAAAGATGTAAACATACTTATAATCCAAACACAAATTCAATTGAATCAAAGGAAAATTTGAACAAAAGAAAGATCTACATGGAGACTCAAGAAAACGAACATGGATCATAAGACCAGGAGTTCCGGAAGAGTAAGTGTCTTCTTCATCGACGACATTCACCATGTAAATATGTGCTATGTCAAATTTCAAAGTGCCTGAATGGTTGTAACAATCTTGTTGATATATATCGGTTCTGAGTGCATTAGGCACAGAATCAAAAATTGTAATCAAAGTCTTCTAACGAGTTACCGCATCTATATTAAACTGTGTCACTTAAATTAGCTCTAAAGAGGTCGTAATCAAGAGAGCTGGAACGGTTTATCAATTGAAAATTCAGTATGTTTAATTTCAGAATCCCTATACCTGAAAGCATTTGATATATATTATTTCTGTCTTAGTGATAATTGATTAAATTGAATCGAAAGTAATCAATATTTGTGTCATTCCATATCTTTGTAGTTGAAAACAATTTCGCATGTGTAGGAGACACAGTGAAGTTTTATAGATTTAAGTTCATAGAAGAATTTATAGCATTATGAGGCAATAACGTCCTGCTATCGGAAGATATAAATGATCCCTAAATATACTGGACGTTTTGTATTCGTGTTTTGCACGATGGAATATAGATGTTGATTTAGACAATTAAATTGTCATATAAGGCAAAGTAAAAGTATTTATCCAAACAATCAATGGATTTATGAACATGGTATTTCCATTGAATAAGCAGATAAATTTTGTAATTTTTGTATAATTTGTAACTAAAATGGTAAATTCATAATTGATTTCAATACCTTTTGTTGTTCCAGACAAAAGAACTGATTTCCTTCTAAACAGGAAAATATAGAAGATAAGTTGTGAGTTGTCTCTTCTAGATACATACATTGTATGTTTACTTAAATTATGTGTAGGAAGTTTGAGGATTTATTCCTGCACCTCAATTAAAGAAGGTGAATTTATTGTTCTTAGAAATGTGCTTGATGTAAAAAAAAACCCAGTGAATACCTATAGTGTTGTACCTATAGACTGTTGTTACAAATTATTGGCTAGGGTCACTTAAAAATGTTATCATGAACTTGCGGAGCTTAGTACAATCAAACGTTGCCGTAAGATCAATTCTGCGTATCATGTTTAGCAGGAACTAGTAACACACCAGACGACGGAGGATTAATGAAACAACGACAATATTTCCCGCCTCATGATACTTTTATTGATTTTTTCGATTACAGCAATATGTTCACAATACTACCTCTCCTCTTACATGATACATACACACACGGTTTTCAATATAGACATTATCATAATATATGACGCAAAGGAAGCAACTCCCAAACATCAGTTGTTTCATTACTTTTTACAATTCAATTTTTATTAGAGTTAACACAAATACCATATCAGATTAAGTTTGGTTGACTACACTTCTATAAAATCATTAACCGTTGTTTTGATTTATCATTTTTTACTGTAAGGATGATATGTCAATTTCCGAAATACTTCATAGCAAAGTAGGAAAAATTTCATCTTATGAAAGATTGTTAGATAAAGTTATGTTGCATTACATTAGCTTTCCGTTGCTGAATATCTAAAGTTTCTAATATAATAACATACTACTCACTGCAGATAATTAAAATAGTTTGTCACTCTCTAAATACACAGCATTTTCGAAAGAGTTTTCCTCCAGTATCTTCACAAGAATGCTGATGGGCGTTTCGGGAAGAGTGATCTTACCATCTTTACGAAATTCTGAAATAGATAATAAATTTGGTGGGTGATAATCTTTCTTAAATTCCTTATGCAACGATTTCTAATATGTAGTCTGAAACAACACACTATATACGCTATTTACCCTTCAATATCAAACTATAAAGAGCAAAGGAGACATGTCAGTGTGGTCCGGATGTGGAGGAGACAATGGTGTTTGAGAAATTACGTTAAAACATTGCATCATTTCTCTTCATTATACAATTATTGTAATTTAACTTTCGGCAATGGAAAAATAAGAGTTTATGTATTAATAATGTGAATCCATTTTTTTCATATTAGCATTAGATATGCTTAAATACATCAACTTGAAGCTAATGTGTTTACAAAACCATAAGATGTGTTGTCTCAACTTACAACTTTCTTATTAGACTGAACAAGAGACGGGCATTGTTTGCATTGCTTTTGCATTCAATCGATAATTAGTCTTTTAGAGTCAAACAGCAAACGAAAAAGACGCTAAAAAACGAAATGCATCAAATTCTTACTAAAAAGTTCAAAACTTTATCACCTTATTTTATTTCATTCATTATAATTTGCTAGCACGTAACCCTAAAGGCTTTAAATCAGAAAAAAACTGATAAAAATACCAAGGAATAAGTCACATTCTTACGCTTCATTAAAAAATGTTGACTATTAGTGATTTGAAACTGTTGTATTCTTGATATTTTGAGCAACAATACAATTCGGGAAATTACAGTAATTCACCGAAGTGAAATACTATCGCAATCATGCAAAGATGATAATTTCGTGCAACAACTGATTGTAGACAAAACAAAAAAACTTCATTCTTGAAATATATGTTGCCTGGCAGGCAAATATGTGTTTCCAGCATTGCAAGTGATTTCCTGAGTAAGATTACTTCAACTACAAAAATAAAGATGTGTACTCCATACCATCAGCTCGATGATTCCTATTTCAATTTCTTTACATATTTGTAGACGAGTATCATATTTGGCAAAATAACTATAATGTTGGCTGACTTACGTGTCAACAAATTGCACATGGTCTGGCTCTTGCTTTCCGCTTCAAGCAACATGTCTGTATCTACGGCCCCCGGGGCGAATGTCAGTATCCTTAAAGATGGGTTCTCAATGGCAAGTACGCGCATAAACATGTCACGTGCGGCCTTACCTACAGGAAGAAGGAGAAAAATAGTAATAGCGATATCATAGAAATATAGAATTATTGATCAAAATGTAGCATAAATACAAAGTCACAAAGCTTGTCCGATTACAAGTAGACGAAAACAGCAAAGAATCAAGTATTTATGTACACAATGTTTTTAGTGTACAGCGGTATGAAGATCGAAAGGTAAACGACAATTTTTGTCGTTATAAGATAAGTATGGTCGGTATTATTATCGTGAACGGCCCATCAATCAAGAAAATACTGCTGGAAAGTACAAGGAGAACCAGATCAAGAGTTCCAGAAGAGTGAGCGTATTCTGTTTCGTCGACGTCACCCGCCATATAAATCTTGGTCATCCCAAGTAATTAATGTCACGTTCACAAATGAGAACAAGGTATGCAACCACGGAACCAACAGGCAAACTAACACGTACTTTATATCACACACAAAAAAAAATAGAATATTTCTCAATAAGATCACTATGACGACAATAAATCTTCTCCATAATTTTTATCAACCTGCATATTTTGAAACCCTGTTAGTAATTATTCAAACAACATCATACAGTCGTTTCGCCCTTTTATGACACATCAGTGATGCTGGCGACTGGGAAAACACATAGTGATCAAAGATAAATGTCAAAATTTAGATTGGGATATGCACGAACCCTGTAGATCAACAAATTACGATTAAACATCTGCTACTTAAAGAAGATCATCAATTGATTGAAATATAAGGTGGCATAAACCTGGTGGATGTTGTTTGACTGAAAACTAAGTTAATTAAATAATTAGATATTCCACAGGGTTTGAAAATTGTAATTAACAAGATCGGGATGTCTATAGTAATTCTATGATTGAAACGTACCGGCAAGGTATAAATGCATAGTCGACAAAGGAGTTGACGTTCCTGGGGACGTCATATTGATCACGACCCGGGATTTTGTAGAGTCAGAGAAAGTTCGGAAGAAGCTTGTGTTAAGTAAAATCATTCCTATGAGATTGGTGTCATAGTACTTTCGGACAAACTTGGAGTCGGAAAGTTCCAAGGACTTCTTTGAAACATCTCCGATATTGGCGCAATTATGTACAATCATAAATTGTTCAAAGTCCGTCGGAGAAATGTTGTTGGTCGATAAAAGTTCAGTGAATATATCATTGAAATAATCAGCGTCTTCGGTATTGCCTTGGTCATATTGACGGACCACAATTTTGGCATTAGGAGACTGAGATATCATTTCCGACTTGACATTTTCTAAAGCTTCCAAATTTCTTGCCATGAGAACGAAAACCGAATCAGGAGGGAACTTGGCTCCAAATTGCAGTGCTATGCATCTTCCTAGTCCTCTACTGGCACCAGTGATCGCTACAAAACTCTTCTTGAGGAAGATATTCTCTCGTTTCTCCATCTTGTTAATCGTACTGACAGCGTTTCTACAGAGCTCCTGTTATATTAGACACTATTTGATGCAACCTACAGTGGTATACTTGTTGACACTCTAAGATCACTGTATTTGATACTATGGAGAGGTCTAAACGTCGAACGTCTCTGCATATTTTGTTACGTTCAATGCTTACATTCTTGTGACACCTGTATTACTATTACATGCTAAATTTGCTATTTCCGTAGATTTATAGGTTTAAGCAAGATACAGACCGGGTTATGCATAGATTGTAATTGCTTATAAAATGTGGAGCGAGCAGTCGATGTAAACACGATGCCGCAGCGACTGCCGATCTTCCGTACAATTTAAAATGTTGTTTTCAATGTTATTGCAAATTGTTAAATCATATAAACATTTTGCTAAATTCATATTAATGATTTACATACTTATCTAATAACGGAACCGGGTTGGCTCGTAGTATGGTGGTGATTATTTATATGTTTCCTTAGACGTTCCATAATTGTTGGTGATTTAAATAGTGTCCTGTTACTTGACACTTTTGTGATGATAATGTGCGTGACCGTGCAATTTTCGGTGCACCATAGATCTCGGGAATAATTCGACAGTACTGTTGCACTGTTGCACATTTTGTGGTTGAAAAACCGTGTCACAGTGTCACAATGGAAAATATTCTAAATGGAGCTCCTATAGAAAATGTAATTTGACAGCTTTGACCTAGATCGTGGAGAATTTCATATTTCAGCAGATATGTAATGCAGCCGTCTCTTCAAATCTCAAGAGAGCTGGCACAGTCTCTCAATTGGAAATTAGATATGTTTTACTTACGTAAACACAATACCTGATAGCATTTGTTATTTTTGTCTTTGTGACAATTGGTTAAAATGAAAGTGTATTAATATTTGTGTCTTTATAGTTAATGGGAAAAGGGAATTTCGCATGCGTAGAAGATGAAGTGCAGTTTTATAGATTTGAGACCATATAGGAATAAAAAGCTCTATGTTTGCATTGCATTTTACATCTCAAAAAAATCAATAATTATATTTGTTTCATATTCTACCGGCTTTTACCGTGAATATATAGATTTAAGCAAGGTCCGTGGTTCACTTCATGAAAACACCAGAAACTTATTGTCTACTTTTTCCTTGGGTATCTAAGCTACATACCGGATTATGCAGAGGTTTTAATTGCTTACAAAATGTGAAGCAAACAGTCGATAAAATCACAGTGCCGTACGTGTATAGTTTTAAACATGGAAGATGGAAGAGTGCCACGGCGCTCGATGTTTCCAACTATTTACAATGTTGATGGCATGATTAAAGATGTAGAATCTAAAACCAAATCAGTAATTGCTGTAAAACAATCCAATTCATTTGAATGTTGTTAACAATCGATACCAGCTGAATTTGTGATTAGCGGTATGTGTATACCAGTGCTTCTGTATCCCACGTTGCTGAATATCCTAGCTAGCACTTTTCGTTCAATATAAAAACTCTGAATGCATGCATTAGGCCTACAAATGAAATACACCAACATATAAATACTTATTAGTGATTAGCGTATAATAATGAAATAATAGACATGGAAATTATAATCTGATGTTAATGACCGTAGCAACTACAACAACTGCTCCAAGTACATATCGATGACATTAGATGATCTTACCACAGGAGAACATTGTACAAGAATTACTTGCAACAATATTTCTATGAAATTCTACTAATCAATGTTCGTAACGGGCATAATTTTCTTTAAATTGCACAGCATACACTTAACCATATGCGCGTTCGAAAGAGTCGGTATTTCAAAGCTTTAAAACGACTTGGAAGTTTCTTCAAAATGTATCGCCCACTTTTTTCCTTTAGTAGCAAGCTACATTCTAATTATTTTTAAGTTAGCTGCTTAGGTACTATGCAGGAAAAGTTTACATATTATTATCGCTTATTTAGTTATGGTTAGTTACTTTGGTCTCAATATATGAGTTGTAGACTATGACTCCTTGCACTAAACGTATGTAATGGGTCACAGAGAAGGGGATTCCAACATGCCCATGAAGTATGCCAGTACCATTTATCTAGAAAAGTCCCATGTCTTTATTTCACGTGCAAGAAAATATCTATTCTTACATACATTAAAGTATATATTCTGTTACAGCCCAGTTTCTAAAAAACCTGCAAATAACGGGCATTGGCAACAGGATCAAGTCTAGATGTCCCTTCTCCTTATTATTGAAAAATTAAAAAAAATCTATTTTGTCCTGAAAGGAAACTTTTCAAACGCCATGGTGATATAATTAAAACTCAGGTACATGTATGTAACAATTTTTTGTCCGGAGAACAAATTGTTCACGATATCATAAAAATCGTAAACCAGAGATTGAACTTTCTATACAGAAATATAAAGATCAAAAGAAACTTAATTAAAGGAAAGTTTGAGCAATAAAAGAGATCTACATGGAGACTCAAGAAAATGAACATGTATCATAAGACCAGGAGTTCCGGAAGAGTAAGGGTCTTCTTCATCGACCACATTCATCATGTTAATCTCGGCTATGTCAAATGAGAAGAATAGCAAAGTGAATTTCGCACTGGCTGAATGGTTGTAACGGTCATATTGATAGATATCGGTTCTGAGTGCATTAGGCACAGAATCAAAGATTGTAAGCAAAGTCTTCTAACGAGTTACCGCATCTATATTAAACTGTGTTACTTAAATTAGCTCTAAAGAGGTCGTTATCAAGAAAGCTGGAACGGCTTCTCAGTTGGAAATTAAGTATGTTTAATTTACGTAAACCCCATACCTGAAAGCATTTGATATATATTATTTCTGTCTTAGTGAAAATTGATTTAATTGAATCGAAAGTAATCAATATTTGTGTCATTCCATATCTTTGTAGTTGACGGGAAAAAGGAATTTCGCATGTGTAGGAGACAGTGAAGTCTTATAGATTTAAGTCCATAGAAGAATTTAAAGTTCTATGTTGACGATAACGTCCTGCTATCGGAAGACATAAATGATCCCTAAATATACTGGACGTTTTGTATTCGTGTTTTGCACGATGGAATATAGATGTTGATTTAGACAATTTATTTTGTCATATAAGGCAAAGTAAAAGTATTTATCCAAACAAACAATGGATTTATGAACATGGTATTTCCATTGAATTAGCAGATACATTTTGTAATCTTTGTATAATTTATAACTAAAATGGTAAATTCATACTTGCTTTCAATACCTTTTGTTGTTCCAGACAAAAGAGATGATTTCCTTCTAAACAGGAAAATATAGAAGATGAGTTGTGAGTTGTCTCTTCTAGATACATACATTGTATGTTTACTTAATTTATGTGTAGGAAGTTTGAGGATTTATTCCTGCACCTCAATTAAAGAAGGTGAATTTATTGTTCTTAGAAATGTGCTTGATGTAAAAAAAAACCCAGTGAATACCTATAGTGTTGTACCTATAGACTGTTGTTACAAATTATTGGCTAGGGTCACTTTAAAATGTTATCATGAACTTGCGGAGCTTAGTACAATCAAACGTTGCCGTAAGGTCAATTCTGTGTATCATGTTTAGCAGGAACTAGTAACACAACAGACGACGGAGGATTATTGAAACAACGACAATATTTCCCGCCTCATGATAATTTTATTGATTTTTTCTATTACAGCAATATGTTCACAATACTACCTCTCCTCGTACATGATACATACACTCACGGTTTTCAATATAGACATTATCATAATATATGACGCAAAGGAAGCAACTCCCAAACATCAGTTGTTTCATTACTTTTTACAATTCAATTTTTATTAGAGTTAACACAAATACCATATCAGATTAAGTTTGGTTGACTACACTTCTATAAAATCATTAACCGTTGTTTTGATTTATCATTTTTTACTGTAAGGATGATATGTCAATTTCCGAAATACTTCATAGCAAAGTAGGAAAAATTTCATCTTATGAAAGATTGTTAGATAAAGTTATGTTGCATTACATTAGCTTTCCGTTGCTGAATATCTAAAGTTTCTAATATAATAACATACTACTCACTGCAGATAATTAAAACAGTTTGTCACTCTCTAAATACACAGCATTTTCGAAAGAGTTTTCCTCCAATATCTTCACAAGAATGCTGATGGGCGTTTCGGGAAGAGTGATCATACCATCTTTACGAAATTCTGAAATAGATAATAAATTTGGTGGGTGATAATCTTTCTTAAATTCCTTATGCAACGATTTCTAATATGTAGTCTGAAACAACACACTATATACGCTATTTACCCTTCAATATCAAACTATAAAGAGCAAAGGAGACATGTCAGTGTGGTCCGGATGTGGAGGAGACAATGGTGTTTGAGAAATTACGTTAAAACATTGCATCATTTCTCTTCATTATACAATTATTGTAATTTAACTTTCGGCAATGGAAAAATAAGAGTTTATGTATTAATAATGTGAATCCATTTTTTTCATATTAGCATTAGATATGCTTAAATACATCAACTTGAAGCTAATGTGTTTACAAAACCATAAGATGTGTTGTCTCAACTTACAACTTTCTTATTAGACTGAACAAGAGACGGGCATTGTTTGCATTGCTTTTGCATTCAATCGATAATTAGTCTTTTAGAGTCAAACAGCAAACGAAAAAGACGCTAAAAAACGAAATGCATCAAATTCTTACTAAAAAGTTCAAAACTTTAAGACCTTATTGTATTTCATTCATTATAATTTGCTAGCACGTAACCCTAAAGGCTTTAAATCAGAAAAAAACTGATAAAAATACCAAGGAATAAGTCACATTCTTACGCTTCATTCCAGACAAAAATGTTGACTATTAGTGATTTGAAACTGTTGTATTCTTGATATTTTGAACAACAGTACAATTCGGGATTTTACAGTAATTCACCGAAGTGAAATACTGTCGCAATCATGTAAAGATGATAATTTCGTGCAATAACTGATTGTAGACAAAACAAAAAAACTTAATTCCTGAAATA